AGCCGCTTGATGTGGGTTGCTTTGCCCCCCTGAAGCGTGCGTACAAGGAGGAGATCCAAGTCTTGGCAAACTGCTATATCAACCACATCGACAAGAAAGCCTTCCTGGCTGCACTTACCCTAGTATTTGACCAGGCCTTCTCAAAGGACAATATCCTATCAAGCTTTAGAGCAACTGGCTTAGTTCCAGATAACCCAGAGGTGGTGCTATCAAGGCTTGAAGTGAAGCCTCGTACACCAACACCACCTTTACCCGGGAGTACCCCTTGGCAGCCTAAAACACCAAGCAACGCCTGGGAAATAGAGGCTCAAACAACGCTGATTCTCAAGAGGATAAGGGACTATAGGAGTTCCTCACCTGAGTCTATTCTTGAGATGGTGCTGCAGGTCAAAAAGGGGTCAACTTTGAAGGTACACTCACACACGTTGCTTGAAGCTAGGATAGATAGTCTTGAGCAAGCAAATCAGGCTGCTTCTGAGCGTAAAAAGCGTAAGAAGAAGCGAATACAGAAGGGGGGGACCCTATCACAGGCAGAGGTAGAGGTAATAGTTACCCAGGGGGATGCTGAGGTTCGACTTGAGGCAGAGAGGCGTGAGGAGAGGGTGCAGGCAGGTGCTAGCAGCAGGGGTATTCCGCGCTGCAGGAGGTGTGGCAACACAGGACACAACAAGCGTACATGCAAGAACGATACAGTAGAGATAGGCAATTAATTTAAGCTATTGCGCACTATTATATCTTGTTGTTGTGTTGAGTTATTCACGTTCAAAGATATATTGTTGCATTTAGTGATTCGCTCGGTGGGGTGATTCGCTCGGTGGTGGACCACGTTAACACGTTCATATCAAGAGTTACCCTGTGACACAAGTTACCTTATAACTTGGCCGATGGTATGGGCCGATGAATCCAATCGTGTCACGCATTACCTGGTTGGTACCGCGTGTGTCTTCGGCTCTTTCAACGATGGACGTTCCGTGCAACACTTGGATACAACGAGAATTACGTCTGAATTGCACAGTTTCATTTTCGTGACAGTTCCTCCGCACGTTTGTACCAGATGAATAGCCAAAGGCGTGTATTCAGGTCTTCTTTCTTCGCCAAATGCAACGGCATCAAACGCCGGGCCTATCAAACTAGCAGCTCCTGTTGCGGCAGACGTATCCGCTGTATAGTCAATGGAAAACTGCGCTGAGTTGCTTGCTAGCTAGGAGGCGACGATATATATATATATGTCCTGAGACGTGCCAGTCCAAGGTAGTCAACAGAGGTGACGATCAAGGCTATAGGACCGACTTGCACCGCAACAGTTCCAACGAGTCAACAGGAATTCGGTAACATCGCTATACTTTCGTCCTTCCTGTGCGACTTTCGACGAATTACCAAGGCATGATAGGTTACCAGCAGATTGAACGGCGGAGTGCGTTGTGCACAGCCATGCAAGACTAGCTCATCTCCCAGCCCCACGGCATGATTGCCATACCCAACTGCAGAGGCATCACCTACCTTCGCGATGAATGAGCATCCGTACTCTAGTGCTTGCTTTATGCAAAGCGCGAATTCCGGCATTGACCGCGGCTCGATATTGTCCACGTAAAGAGATCCCAGGACCTAAACTGTTTCTGACGTAAAATGGCGAATGACGTAGTGCAGCCGGGGTAGTACACTTGACAGTGGTCGTTTGCGCCAATCCGGTACCCAAGATAGCCAGTGGTCGTCGGTAGGGCTGAACTGGCGTGCCAGTACAGAAGTCAGTATATCGCCGGAAGCTGACCCGTGAGATTCAAGCGAGGTCGCCCTCGTGATATTGTGTCGCAACTGAAGGGTTCAGAAAATACGGGATCTTTGAACGTCGGGCTTCACATCAGCATGCAAATGCATTGATTGACACAACAACGCTCAGATGTATTGGTGTCAGCCGCCAACTCACGCCGCACAGCAGCATTAAATATTATACAAATGTACACCACAAGCCTCACCCAGAATGTACAATCTCGCCTGAAGTGTAGGGTATGAGAAAGAAGCTATCGCGAAACGCCCAAAAAGCGGAACATGAAGAGATATGCAAGTGATGATGTACCGATCCTTTTGAGCCACGCTGGGCGTCCATGCAACCGCAGTAAATTCAAAAACACAAAAGAGATGTCTGCTCTACTATCGTACGTCGTAAGGAAATGTGCCGCGATAGGCTGGGTATGTAGGGTAGGGAAGTGTGTTTAAAGGGGGAATGAGAATTTAGGAGGACTGCCCGTGGGCAACCCATGCGTCGTGCGCCTCTCGGAGAACTGAGTCTCGTTAGTTGTTATCCACGTGGTGGAGGCTGTACGACTTACTCTGCAATACATGAGCTTGCGAGTTGGCGGTCTCGCATGCACACTGCAGCGTTCGACCATCGATGAAATCCATGACAACGCTGTTTGGAAGCTCCTGCAGGTCCTGGTCTGGACAGAACGGAGCTTTGAACTCAGTGAGATGGTAGCGTTTCGTGATGCCCTTTGGATTCGAAATCGATGGGCCCATGACAAGATTGCCTGTGCTGTCGATTTCGACAAATCGGCGTTTCCACAACTGCGAATTTGTTAGAGGTGTATGCAAGGCTTGACAGAACACCAAACTTACCAACGTATCGGGGAACTGAACATTGAGATCGCCAACCTGGACGGGCGGCGGCGGTTCCCGTAGAGATGACAAAGAGGTCGACCGCATATCCTGCTCTGGTAGGGCAAGGCTAGACTGGGAGTTCTTCCAGGGCATGGCGGACATCGACGAAGACATGCGCTTGAACATCTTGCTGGTGCGTGAGTCCTTCTTTCCCTTCTTGTCTTCTCGCTGCTCATGGTCACCATCGTGGCTGTGAATCGACTTCGTCTCACTCATCCGGCGTCCGAAGGACCTCCAACTGCTTTCAGACGAAGATCGAGGGAGAGCAGGGCCTTGGTCACGTGAATGTGAGGACGACGGTGCTCTTGGCGAAGCCGGCTCAATTGTAGAAGGCGGAGCGGTCTTCACTCGAGTCGGGCTCTTCGGAACGAATGTTGGTTTCTGATGGTCGATGATCAAGGGACTCTGGTGTAGCTCCAGTGGTGTGGTCTCAGTCGGCATAGCCAATGTCGGTTGCCTCGTTCGATCATCTCGGACGATACGAGCCGTGACCTGAACAGTCTCGGTTTGTTGTCCTTGTTGCACATTGTACACTGTACTGTCCGTTGTCACGAGTGAAGGCTGCAACACCGGTTTCGTATCAGGCGTCGAATGATTTGACAAGCTCAAGTATGACGGGCTTCCTACTTGCTGGACGGGAGTGCCGTCGGGCGACCTCTCAATCGGTGTCGCTGCAAAAAAGTTTGACTTCCGTTGGGCCAAGCTGGATCCCGGTCGTGAGCGGGGAGGGTCGTAGGGACTCAGTGATGCTTGTGAATCGCGCTTAGACTTCTCCGCAAGAGCTTTGATCCTCTGGGCGATACCACCCGATACCTTGACAGAGTTCATCTTCGGTGGCGGGCCCATCTCCTCACTCTTAGTAGACGTGATCCATGGACCTGACGATTTTCTGGCAAGGGGTTCCGGTGATGTCCGGGTGGCGTTGTTGAATGAGGTGGAGGCAGCCCGCTTAGGCGGTGAGGAGGGGTTGGGCTCAGAGGGCTGTCGAGGGAAGAATGGCACGATCGGCGACTTGGACACGGACATCGGTTTGGCCTGTCTAACTTCGGCACTGCGGAGTTCCTCCATAAAGGAGTCGTCGGACAGGTATTCAGCCTCAGAGTTGTCCGCACTCACCTGGATCGGATCAAGCAGTGCCCTGCGCTTTTCTTTCGACTGGTACCAACTTTCTCTCTTCGAGGAGGGCAGTATCATCGATTCCCTGTTGCACCTCTTAGACTGGTTGTCATTATGCTGAGTGTCTTCGTCAGGGGGCATGTAGATGGTAGACTCGCGGTTGGAGCGGCGTGATTGGTCTTGAGAATTAGAAGGCATAAGGGTTGTTGTGGATTCCCGCTTTGACGTCTGATGAATCTCGTTTGACTCAAGTGGGGCCTCCTCCGGCGGGGTCGGCAACTGGCTTGGTATATGCATGTCCAACGAAGGAACAGGCGTCCTGCTTTCCGGCACAATTGTAGGCGAGCTGTCTACGGACTGCTGCTGCTCGTCTAGAGTGTCCCACGTTGTATGTTCTGGAATATGGGCAGCCTTCTGTGCATCGTCCAAGTTATTATGATCGTCCTCTGACAGGGATGATGGGCGGGTGGATGGTGCGACAGATGAACCCTGCGTTTGCGCAGACACCGGCGAAGATACGGATACGGCAGAGTTAAGATCATCGCTCTCAACCTGGTTACTGGTGCAGACCATACCAGAGCTGTCGGCAGCCAAAGTTGAAGTTGTGTCCTCCTCGAGCGAGATCTTCCTGTCCTCGAAACCCTCCTTGCTGTGTAATGTAACGCCTTCTACGCGGTCCGCCGGCGAGGAGACTGTAGCGCTGGAGTCGGCAGCGGCCTCGATTGGCTTGCTACCAGAATCTGGTGCGTTTGCTATCGAGCTACGGGAATCAAGGACAGTCTTCGATTGAGCATTCTCCTCCACTGCTTCGCGAGTTTCAGTTGTGTCCTCTGCCATTTTGCTCTGCCGTTCTTGTTGGGCCTTCATTTGCTTCTTGCGTAATTCCAAGGCCTTCATCAACCTTGTCTTCTCCTGCGAGTTGCCGTTTGCTCTGTACGAACTGCTGTAGCTCACTGGCATAGACCGTACACTGGCCGGGCTCTTCAGTGAGAATGTGATTGAGATTGGAGAGATAGGATTTTCGGGTATCGGAGACGGCGGAGGAGGCAGAGATGTCGGTTTCGTGAGATTCGGTTCTGGCACTAGGTCTTTGAGATGTTTGGGCTTCTTCGATTCGGCTGCTTTACGAGTGGCCGAACGTAGGCCAGAGGGCAGAGATGACTTTGTACGCGATCCAACCTGAGAGCCGCTGCCTGAAGTAGACGGTCGCCTGCCTTCCTGCGATGCTCGAGGTCGCGGTCCTAACTTCTCCTTGGGCTTCGTATATTGTGCGTAGTAGTGCTCGTATAGCTCGTTGTAGTCAGGTCGCGTCGTTTGCGAAGAGGCTCTTGGCTCAGGTCCACCTTCGAACAGCTTGTCGTAACTCGTAAGCGTCTCCCTAAAGTCGCTGAGGTCGTCTGCCTCCGGTGTCTGTGGACCCTGTGTGATTTTCTCGATGGTGACGTGCGAGATCTCCGGCGCAGGCTTAACATCTGGTACTGGCTTTGCTTCGGCCACCTTCTCGTCGAGAACAATCGGCACCTGCTCGGTGTTTTGCGACACTACCGAACCACTTCGCAGCGAGGCCTCCTCGCTGCTGGTTGTGGGCTCAAGAATGGTCGGTATGGTGGACGAGGCTGTCGGCGGTCGCTGCAGTACTGGGGTTTCGTCCCCTCCGGATTGCCCAGGGCCCTCCGACTCTTCCCTGATCCAGCTCAACTTCTGGTGCCTTGCAGACGAGCCACTGGACGAAGAGCTCGAGGGGGCAGCGGTATGTAGGGTGCAGGCCGAGGTAAGGGCAGCATCACTAAGCTCCTCGGGGGTGCTGATAGAGAGGACTATGTCGTGCGGCGTCAACTTCTCGGACACGGTGATGAAGTGGACTGCAACGCGGGCTGGGAGCGGGTGTTAGCGTAGCCCTGATCTGCCAATTTACTATGAATTTGTATGTACCTTGAAGCAGCCGCGAGGTGCCCTCCGGCACGTACTTGACCAGCACCTTGCGGCGGCGATACAGCAGCAGGCCATATAGCGGCGAATTGTCTTCATACTGTGCGACCGCTGCGCGCGCCTCTTGCGCCCCGCCGGTCCCCTTGGTCAGGACATCGACAGCATCCCTTGCCGTGTACTTGAGCAGGAACCTATACACGATACATTAGCACGGCGGCTCGAGATTGCGGAGACCTGGGGGGGGGGCTCGCACCATCCACCAGCCTCGGCCAGTGCGCTCTGGTAAGCCTGTGTGACGGCGACGTCGTCCAGCCCGTTGAGCGACATTGTGGGCGCTCAGGGCCTGCGGAGTGCTGCAGCAGGGCGAGGTGCAGCGTGCCCCAGTGCAGAATGAAGCTGCAGTGTTTGGAGGAGCTGCGCGGTCGTGGCGCGCTTCTGCGATTCAGGGCCAGTGCTTAGGGGTCAATGAGCTAAAGTGCTGCTTGAGAAATCCAGGCACTGCGCGAGTCAAGCCGCGATGCAACGAGCCATTGGCTCTTCTAGTAACAGCAGTGCAGACAGCAGCTGGGAAAGAGTCGTACAGACAGCAGCTTGGAGAGAGTCGTACACACTGAGATGAGAGTGGCATAAGCAATTCAGCTGGCCTGTAGCGGAAGGGGGCAACTGCGTGCCTGTGGGAGCGCGAGCTGCTGCGCTGCTGCACTGCTTAGTGTTTCACATTTCAGCGAGACGGCAAGCCACAAGGGACGAGCACCAGCTGGTCCGAGTGCCGGGCTCTCCTTCGGCGCTCCTCCGGCTGCCCTGTGTCGGCTGCAAGCTGACTTCACCGAGCCGTGAGTCGACGAACCAGACGTCTGTCTGCATGTCGAGCGCTGCTAGCACGCTTGCTGGAGGATTTCTTGCGCCGTGACAGATGCAGGGACGGCTTCTTCAGGACTCCAAATGTTGCAATGCTCATGCAGACAATGGCCCCTATCACCACGGCTCTCCATCATGGCTTCATGACCAGTCTCACAGACAGCCTGCGATAGACGTTGCGCTTACAACTACCGGGCAAAACTCTCAGCCAGTCGCTGCCCAGCTCGTGCCTACCTGTCTGGGGTGGCCCTGCGGCTCGCGGCTGCAAGAACTCTATCGAATTGCATCTGTCACTTTGACTTTAAACTTTCGCTTGAGCTCAGCATTGCCTTCGTTCGTTCGTTCCACAATAGCAACCTTGCAAGCCCCGTGCATAAGCTCAACGGTGAATGGATCAGGTCAGGCCTGATGTCGTCAGGAAGTCTTGTGAACAGCTGTTTGGGGCCGGGGAAGAGTACCAACAGCCAGGACTACCCCTCGAACGTTGAACGCACCCAAGCGACGCGTCCAGAAGAGCTTCCCCCCTTGCAGGATGCATATCTACCCCACATGTCCGCCCTCTACCCACCACTAGAAGCTTTTCCTCGGGTACTGTACTTGTGGGAATGCCTGTGGCTTGAACATGCCCGTATCTGCACCGGACGGTAGCGGCCGATGTCACATCTTTCTTAACGAGCATCGTACCCCCACCATCGCGCCGCCGTAGCTTCAATCTCTTCAGAACGGAGCACTCAACACGTCTATTCTGCCTCAAGATCCGCAACAATCGACAAAGTACCCTTGTGCATTGCCAATATGACATCACTTCCGCCTGTCTCCACTCTACCGCATGTGTCCGACTCGGAGTTAACGAAGGTGCTAGATCTCCTGTTCGAACCATCACCACCCCTCAATGCACTGACCTTGCCTGTGCTACGATCGACAACATTCCCAAGCTACGACGTCTTGATCACCGCTGCCAATGCCCAGTTGAAAGTATTGGCAGGCTCAGATAGCCCAGAGGATGTGGAGAAGTTATCAGAGATCCTGTGCTCGCACCCACGGCTTGGCGAGAAGAAGGTTGACAGCGAGCAGAGCAGGAAAGAGCAGGCACAATTGCAACAGGGCGCTGAAGAGGAAAAGGAGAAGCTGGCGAGTTTGAACAAGGAGTATGAGGAGAAGTTCCCTGGTTTGAGATATGTGTATGTGCCTTTCAATTTTATCCAGCATCTTCAGCACAGTATTCAAGTATGAATGTCCGTAGATGTCTGAGGTGTCTTGGCGCAGCTAGATTGAATCTTCTCCACTCGCTCTACCTGCAGCTGACACATCCAGCGTTTTCGTGAACGGACGCCCACGACCCATTATTATGGAGAACATGCGCTCCCGCATCGACCGAGGCGATATCAAGGCCGAGCGACAAGAAGCCATTCAGGCCATGTGCGACATAGCACTCGACCGTGCCTCCAAGCTCCAGGCGTGACTAGCTACAGCCAAGCTATAAGCCACCGTGGCAGATTTTACTCACACCCATATGACGATGCCTGCCTCAATACGGCTGATCATGTAGAGCCGGGCTCTCGGCGCAGCACGAACAGCATATGAAGGACTCTCGACCGTCAAGCCTCAGGGCTCTGCTGATCATTGACCAATTATCATCATGCGAGCAATTGGGATGAGTGGTTGAGAGGAGCAATGACGGACCTATGTAGCCAGAGTGTAGTGAAGGAGCCCATTATCGGTCGATGGAAGGCAACGACAATTATCCATCCCAATCACACCTCATACCGCGCTCGCCCTGACTGACTGCCAACAATACCCAGCTCACCATCACTACCCCCCTCGCCCTCGCTTTTCTGGACAGGGTTCGCCTCCTTTGACCGCCACACGAATAACACCACCAACAAAGCCAGCATTGGCACGCTGTCGAACACATACAGCGTCCACTCATGCGCAATCAAGTACGCCGCATTTCCCATCGCATACTCGATCAGCCTGAACACACAGCGAAACAAGACGAGCGAGCTGAGTGCGTACAGGATGCGCAGCGTCCTCTTCCATGTCTGATCCTCTGCACTTTGTCCAGTCTTCGAGATGATGTTCATGCGAACACGAAAGTCGATCGCCGCAACGAGAAAGACGACAAAGGTAGCGACCTGCAGCGCGAGACCAGCAATGACCACCTTCTCGCCCGCAAGAGCGAGAGACAGTTGCATTGTGCCTATGAGACTTGCACCTAGTCGTGATCAGCAGAGTCGCGATGTTTATACCGTCCCCATCACTGACCTAGTCCTTGCACAAGCAATGTACTGATGTCTGCAGTAACGAAGATTCTTGTGTACCATCTCGGACTCACCCTCGAAAGCTTGTCCGCGCCCGCACACCGCACAGCCTGACCAAGCATCATGTACACCGTCGCAGCGAAGAGCAGCGGGCCCACGAGCAACAGCGTGCCTTGGATGATGAACGGTGCCCAGGTGGTATCGTCAAAGTGACTCCCTATGCGCGCGCTGAATCCAGCGATTTCACCTATTGCAGACGTTAGATCTGTAGGTTGCAGATATGAAGGGTGGGATGTACATAGTCCGCCGAGGATGATGTATATGATGCTTGTGCGTCGGTGCTGGACGTAAGAGTACCCGTGCAAGAGGGTTAAGATGGTGAAGGGGTGAGGGTGAGGGTGAGGGTGAGGATAGCTGCTGCAAGTGAGGGGGTGTAGCGGTACATTTTCCAGTCAAATGAGGGGGATGAAGGGGGGTTGGCCATAGTGAAGGGCTTGAGGAGCGCGGATGTGGATGTGGATGTGGACGAGACGTTCTCAGGAGTAAGGAGCAGATCATACAACGACTGCTACTAGTGAGGAACAGCTGAGCTGAGTGAGGCGCCATAGTACAGTGAAGCGTGTACTTTATGTATTCCATCGATAAAGCAAGAGGCCTTGCGAATGCGAAGGCCTTGGATGAAGTCATATTGGGAGGTATATTTTGCACTCGCTTGTAGGAGGCTTCGTGACGCGCATGAGTGTTGGTAGCAGCTTCTAGGTGCTGCATTCGCATAGAACTGCAGGGCTGGTGCCTTTTGACGCTAAATTCGCATTCGCTGCATGGCCAATGAAGAGCGCGCGCTGGAGCGTGTTCGAGATAACACGGTGAGGTCACTTGTGAGGATGATACGATAGCTAGAAAAAGTCGAGGTGCGAGGATATGTGTGCGCAGTCTTGTCGGTGTAGGAGCAGATACCGAATCACAGCTGCTTCGTCGTTGCATAGACTCTGATGCTTTGTGGTAAGAGGTCAGGTCAAACTGTGGTAGAGTCCAGCGATAGCTATCGGTACCGTTGACAGATTTGGAGGCCCAGATCAATCCGGACCTTGATATCATCGTGACTGTACTGCTTCAGTGACCCTGTGAAGCTGGATAATAAGAGACTGGTCTGAGTGCTGCTGTATTCCCCACAGCGCACGGGCCAGATAGCTCTTGCAGGTGTACGACAAACCGTGACCAGTGCTAGGATACTCGATATGCTGCCCAGAATGGAATCTTCACGAAGCTTCACCTCAAGCCAGCGTGGCCTCTGTTTGTATGGACGCGCGACGGTGAAATATACGCCAGGGGGTGCTCTCCGCAATTAGCGAGCCGGATGGCCTTGGCGCCAGCTTCTCGAACACGTTGCTAGAAAGAGTTCACAGGACCCCCTCTCCATCATCAACCTCGAGCGTCGCCCACAACCCCTTCTTCTTCATTTCCTCTTGTCTCTTTTCGCTTCTCTTGGGCCTCAAGACTCGCAACCATGAGCGGCCGTAAGTGCAGCGCCCGCAATTCCTGGTCGCGCGAAGGCACAGCTATACACACGATCAGGAAAGCAATTGAGATGCATTGAGCAACAGCTAACACGCGCACAGTTCGGTTCCTCGATCTCGTCAAACCCTTCGTACCTCTCGTCCCCGAGATCTCGCTCCCCGAGAGCAAAGTGCCCTTCAACAACCGCCTGGTATGGACGGGTCTTACGCTTCTTGTCTTCCTCGTCATGAGCCAGATGCCACTGTACGGAATCGTCTCCTCTGACACATCCGACCCGCTTTACTGGTTGCGTATGATGATGGCCAGTAACAGAGGTACACTCATGGAGCTTGGTATCACCCCCATCATCTCCTCCGGCATGGTCTTCCAGCTTCTCGCCGGAACCCACCTCATCGACGTAAATCTCGACCTCAAGTCCGACCGTGAACTTTACCAGACCGCCCAGAAGCTTCTCGCTATTCTCCTGTCCTTTGGTCAAGCCGTCGTTTACGTCATCTCTGGTCTCTACGGACAGCCCTCTGACCTTGGTGCTGGTATCTGCGTTCTCCTCGTTCTTCAGCTTATGATCGCCGGCCTGATCGTCATTCTCCTCGACGAGCTGCTCCAGAAGGGCTACGGTCTTGGCAGCGGTATTTCGCTCTTCATTGCGACCAACATCTGCGAGTCGATTATGTGGAAGGCTTTCTCGCCCACCACTATCAACACTGGCCGTGGTCCCGAGTTCGAGGGCGCCATTATTGCCCTTGTCCACCTGCTCTTCACCTGGCCCAACAAGACCGTCGCTCTCCGTGAGGCATTCTACCGCCAGAACCTGCCCAACGTTATGAACCTGATCTCGACCGTCATCGTTTTCGGCGCTGTCATCTACCTCCAGGGTTTCCGTGTCGAGATCCCCGTCAAGTCTGCTCGCCAGCGCGGTGTCCGCGGCTCGTACCCCGTCCGTCTGTTCTACACCTCCAACATGCCCATCATGCTGCAGTCGGCGCTGTCCTCCAACGTCTTCCTGATCAGCCAGATGCTGTACAGCCGCTTCTCCGACAACTTGCTTGTCCAGCTTCTCGGCGTCTGGGAGCCTAAAGAGGGCTCCGCTCAGCTTTTCGCAACCTCCGGTATCGCCTACTACATGTACGTCTCAGTCTCCAAACGGCCAAAGCCAACCGCTAACAAGTCCAGGTCCCCTCCCCTCAGCATCACTGAGGCCCTTTCCGATCCTCTCAAGACCGCTGTCTTCATCGTATACATGCTCGTCGCCTGCGCTGTCTTCTCCAAGACCTGGATCGAAGTTTCTGGCTCTTCTCCTCGCGATGTTGCTAAGCAGCTCAAGGAGCAGGGCCTCGTCATGGCCGGTCACCGTGAGGAGTCCATGTACAAGGAGCTCAAGCGCGTCATCCCCACTGCTGCCGCTTTCGGTGGTGCTTGCATTGGTGCTCTCTCCGTCGGCAGCGACCTTCTCGGTGCTCTCGGTAGCGGAACTGGTATCCTACTCGCTGTCACTATCATCTACGGATACTTCGAAATCGCTGCTAAGGAAGGCGACATGTCCGGCCTCAAGGGTATGGTCATGGGCTAGATGCCCATATGAGAGCAATAACAGGATGGGAATGATTTAAGGATTCTTATTTTGTATTGGATTATGAGAAGAGTGGATTACATCTAGATGCTGAACAGCATGTGTACACTATAAACGTCACGATCTTAAAAGCAAGCATCGTGTGGCGTTTGCTTGGTCTTTGAAGCCCAAAAGTCTTGATGTCTGATAGATAATGTACTATTGAAAAGACGACCTTCTCAACACTGGCTAGCAATCATCTTCCTTGCCTTACTTCTTCGCAATAACAACCCACTGGCTAGCGTTCATCCTGACCTAATCGCCCTCAGCCACCGTCCCAGGCTGGACCAACAAGAGCTCCACTAACTTGTCTACAGCTTCATCCCACGTCTCCTGGTCACCCTCAAGCCACCCCGCAATCCCACCCAGATACGCCCAGCTCTTCTCCGCCCACTCCCTCAACAAACTCCTCTTCATCACCGCCCACGCATCGCTCTTCTCGATCCGCATGTCCTCCTTCCTGAACCCTGCATCCCTCATCACCTTCTGGATGTGTTTCCCGTCATGCCACGCAACAACCGGCGTCGGAAACGGCTTCCCCGGGCGAATATGCTCGTGCACCGCGCGCACAGGCAGGAGCCACGTCACATGGGCCCAGCAATTCACCACCGCGATGCCACCGGGCTGCAGCGTGCGGTAGATTTCCCTTGCGCCATCGAGACCAGAGCTGCTAGTGAAGAAGATAGCGATGTTGGTCACAGAATGAGTGAACGTGTTATCTGCAAAGTCCAGGGACTCGCTTTTCTGGTTTGTCACGCTGATGGGCCAGTGGTGCTGGTCGACCTCATGTTGGAGCGCGGAGAGGAAGGGCGAGTCGATGTCTGTGGCGTGGATTTTTAGGTCTGAGGGTAAGTTCGGGGAATAGATGAGGGCGCGCGAGACGGTGCCGGACCCGCAGGCGTTGTCGTGGATGATGGCGCCCTCTTGGATGGGCGGGATGAGGGACAGGTTGTGAGAGGCAAATTGGGCGGTTACGAGACCGCCCGTTGTTTCGTAGGTTGAGGCTTTTTGGGCCCCGGAGACGAGGGCTAGGGCTTGAGAGGGCGGGCTGACGGTGGAGATGTTCATGGTCGCTCAGGCAGTACCTTGTTGAAGTGTTCCTGGAGATACTGAGTAGATGGATGGATGAGAGCAAGAGAGCTTGCGAGATACTTTCACATAGGCTGAAATATGAGATAACACGGTTGGACACTCAGATCTTATGTACTTTCGACAAAGGCATCGTAGAGACGGCATAGCGCTTATGCCACACACCCAGTGCAGGCCATGCCAGACCAGTTTGAAGGACAGTCGAAGTTCTCGGACATAACGAGCCGTGCGTGCAGATGCGTCCTAAGCTGATGAATCTGGCACTATGATCGAAGTCAGCAGAGGAAGCAGCCCTCGGCTCCGGTGCCGGATCCGTCGCTCATTTCTCACCAGCATTCACTCCTTTGCGTACTCATTGGTCAACTCCTCAAATCGTCAACAGTACTAAAAGCTATTCCAGTGCTCAGTCGAATTTGAGGGCTTTGATGCGACACAAAACTTGTGGAAAAACTGGAAGCCTTCTTCACGACGTAGATGATTGATCGCGTGAGCTGCCGCTCGTACCTGGCTTCCACTTGGATGCCTAAAACTCGTCCGCATAATCAGACACCCATGACACAGACTCATACGAAGATCAATACCTATAGCCGATGTATCGCGCCAGATGGTGCGCCGCAGTGCAGGATTGGTTAGCAAGAAACCGCACCGCAAGTCTCGGGGCGGTTGCTCGACATGCAAGCGTAAGAAAGTCAAGGTAGGCGGCCTCTAGTAATGTAGTGTTTGCACTCTCTGTGCCGAACAAAGCCATAGTACTGCAAAGCATACACTAACTTGACTCAGTGCGATGAAGGTCAGCCTCTCTGCGGCTACTGTTCGTTACGGAAACCGAGCTGTCACTACCCCCAAGAGCCCGCGTCGGCATCGCCTGCATCTAATGCCACGCACAGCAATGGCTGCTTCCCCACCGGTGTAGCTTTGCATGAAGAGGCACACTTCGATGACATTTCAATGTCGATAAACCCATGGCTGATACCAGCTGTGCAAACCGCCTCTGGATCCCTATCTGGTCTGGAGTTCGAGCTACTGCACCAATACAGGACCTTCACGTGGCAAACACTTACCCCACGGGATGATGAGGCTGTCGTGTCGATACACAGCGAATCTTTTCCCCGCTTGTCACTCTCGCACACACATCTGTTCTATGCACTCCTTAGCATTGCAGCATCCCACAGCAATACGCTGGCGCCATCGAAGCAAGCTGCACACAGAGCACTAGTCTACCGCCAGAAGACGTTAGCTGAGTACAGCGGAGCTCTACAGAACATCACGGCCGAAAACTACGAATCCGTTCTTGTCACTGGAATGCTCTTGATAAGTTTGATTCCGCTACCAGAAGACCCTGGCACTGCAGATGAAGAGACATATCTCGTTTGGATGTATAGCACCCTCAAGATGAGCGAGGGTCTCCGAGTTCTCGCATCTCTACGCTGGGCAGCTGGAATCGAGAAGCTCTCCGCTTATCCTCTCATCTGCAGAGAACTGCGAACGCTGCCTCCACCACCAATCTATCATTCAGCCGATGGCTGTTACCTGTACACTCGAGTGGCTGCGGTTGGCACCACGCCGGACCACGCCAACCCACCGTCGACATATTATCTGTAGCACTCGAGTGGCTCGCCCGTCTTTTGACCTCCTTCACTGATGGACCTGTTGGCTTCCCTTGACAACGCCAAATCCGAATCAGGGCCTCTCAACATGCACATTGGTACCCTGTATTCCGTGCTCCACACCTTCAGTCCGATCTTTCTTAGTCTGTACTACCACCACCTGAGCCTGGATTTCTTCGTTCGCGTCTTCGTGTTCTGCTCGTTCCTGATGTCTGAATTCCTGCTGCTAGTCAAGAATCGAGAGCCGAGAGCTCTTGTCCTGATTGCGTGGTGGCGGGCACTTGCAGGTCTGGCGCCGAGAGGCTGCTGGGTTGGGCGATCGGTCGAGAAGGTCATCGAGGCCATTGGTAGCATCATCATGGAAACAGCGGACTCGGTGACACAAAGAGCATACAAAGATGTCGAGCACTTGATTCGTACATTGAAAGACGACGGCGATGAGGCAGCGGTCAAGAGCATATTCGGAGGAACAAATTTATGTTCAAGCCCCGTGGGCCAGACTGATACAGATACTTTCCATTAGGCTGATATAATCAGGGTCCATGAAAGGATATTGAATATTGCAGGGAAACGGGCCAAGATGTACTCTACGGGGACACCTTCTCACTGTGTAGAAGTGATGTTCGACGTGCATCTTCCACATAACATGGACTGACCAGCCATTCAAATTATTGGGTAGAGGTTGTAGTTTATGATGTGTTATATGACCGGTGAAGAGCCGCTCCTGCCTGTCAAACTGCAGAGGGGCAGTGGAGTAAGCTCGGATATATATACTTTCCGCGCACATGGGGTTCCCGCGCACACCACCCACGGCAGTCACACAGTATAGAGTCGTGATTTTCTCAACAACAACAATTATATTTGCCACTGTATACTCATAGAATCAAGAGTAAGAGCTGCTGCTTCTGCTGCTGCCTTTTGAGCCTCTTTCTCAGCTGAAGTGCTTGCTTGTTGAGCCCGTAGAGCTGCTGCGCGATCAATTGCAGCTTTAATACTTTCAACATTGCTGAATTGCTTATTTAGATTAACTTAAACTCGCTTTCTTGTACGAGTAATCCTATGAGCATCTAATTAATATTTAAGTTATTGATTCTCAGCCTAAAGCTGAGCTGCCCCGGTGTTTGCCTCTGCAATAGCCTTGCCTGCTTTGCCAAGCACTATCCAGGTACTCCGTGAGAGAGTCTCTGACAACAACAACTGCTGTTTAGTCTTGTGTAGAGCCTGCGAGCTCCAAGGTGTAGTAAAGATTACTTCTGAGGCAGCCGCTAATGCCTAGATAGGTGGAGTAGTAGTTAGCCGGCCAGTTACTTGGGATGATGAAAGTGTGTTGTATAGGCAGAGACTAGCAGCCCTCCAGTCAGCTTGGATAACTCGCTCTGAGAGCCCTTCTTCTCTAGCGTTGTTGTATGATACTACAACGCGCTCCTTCTTAATAGGGGCTGCGTCATTAAGCGCAGAGAGGGCTCGGTTCTGATTACGATAGCGTGATTTCAGAACAGAGAAAGGAGCGAGATCCAGAGGCTGTAGCAGGTGGGAGGCATAAGCTGGGAGGTACAGGATATGTATCCTGTTGACCTTGCAGAGCCACATGAAACTAACAGGTGTATAGGAGCTATAGCTGTTAAGGAGGAGCAGTCAATAGCCACTGTTAGATAGTGAAGTGTTTGGTATAAAAACACGGCGTAACTATTTATAGCTCATTGAGTTTAACGTCTATCTATTCTCTAAGGTTGTGTAGAGCCAATCTAGTGTGCCTTGTGCTGGAAGCTACGTTGACTGTAGATGCTTGCCCTTGAAGATGACTAGGCATTGGAGCTTGATACTGGTGGCTGAGATGGTCTCAATAATTGATACCCACTCACAATCTTCTAGAGATTTGATATAAGCTTTCTTCTTTAAAGAGCTTACAAGCACCTAGGCGTTAGTAAATACCCTAAGTGCAACTCTAGTATTATCCATATTCCACATAACGTACTCTATCACCGAGCCGGTCATATCACCGAACCGGTCACTTAAAATCCCACCAAAAAACACAGAAACCATACCCCTGCATCTCAATAACCACTTAATGAAATCTTCTAAAAACTTCAGAATAGAGCTGCATCTATACTAATAAAACTATTTAAAAGTCTTAGACTAATAGCTAGTATAGATGTTGAGATAGCCTGCAGCTACCCCTGTATTTCAGTATCTTCTAAACAACATCTGCAATATAGGGCTAAGCACTCTAAGACTTTCAAACAGTCTTATTAGTATAGATGCAGCTCTATTCTGAAGTTTTTAGAAGATTCTATTAAGTAGTTATTGAGATGCAGGGGTATGGTTTCTGTGTTTTTTGGTGGGATTTTAAGTGACCGGTTCGGTGATATGACCGGCTCGGTGATAGAGTACGTTATCCTTATACTGTATGCCTAGCTCTATTCTTGTCTGCTCAAACAGCTCAAGGAAGGCCTTAATAGTCTCGTAGTTGGCTGCTGTTGTACGTGCGCTCTTGATTGTGCAGCCAACTATAGATGCAACGCGTGGGTTGCGGGTGATAAAAATAGGGTACCTATAGTTGCCTAAGAGGCTCGTGGTCACTATTTATGTGGAGGAGCTGGGTGGCCATTTCTCGTACGTGTGGATGAGAAGGAGGTTGTGCGCGTGAGTCCTTATCAAGTATCCAATCCACTAGGAAGGCCTCTTGTTCTGGAGTCAATTGCTGCTGTCGTTGATGAGCTATCGCGTGTGGTTGTTGACCTTGTTGCCGACTGCGTAGCGTAGATTCAGCGATCCTGTACCACTCAGCAGCCTTGCGCCGGCTTGTGAAAACACTAGAATTGAGATCTGCGATAGCACATTGTATTACAAACTCCTTAGGATCCATATTGACTGTGTGGCGTTGATAGTATAGAGCATCAAAAGCAGAGTAACGCGTTGAGGTGGGGTGCGCGGGAACCCTCTGTGCGCGGAAAGTATATATCCGAGCTTAAGGTAAACATGGCCTCTGTTCTTTACTGTAGCGTCCTCTATAGACTACGAACAATTATCCGCATTGGCACATCGTCGTACATTGCAAGTTCCTCGCTGTCCCGCCCTTCTACAATTCTCTTACGACTTTGTGACATTTCTTTTGTCATTGTTTGGGGTTTGTGTTTGACTTTTTGGTAGCTTTGTACATTAGTTAATGGAGCTGGCCAGCCTTTGACCAGGGCAAGGAAGCTCCTTCACAGGTACTCGCATCAAAGAGCAGTCCCTGGGCATACACAGAAGCAGCCTGCGCCTTCCAATGGAAGCACAAGCGAAATCACGTGAGTTGAGGTGACGGCACAGAATACAGGCACTTTCACTCTTTGAGCAATCAGAGTCTGGACATGACTGAATAGGATTTAAGATCACATGCCATATAGGTTGTTCACTCTTCTTGCTCCGAATGCGTGGGCAATACCGATTTAGTGCTGGAAAAGCAATCGAGATTTCGCGTTGCCAATATAGGTTCCAGGCAAGATCATTCCCTAATGAGTGGAAGGATGCCAACTCTTAGGCAGTAGCTGGTACATATGCATGTCGTGACGTATTACTCATTTAATATCGAGAGACGATGGAACGCTTCGAAGGTATATACGTGTGCTTGACGTGTATCCAGCCATCCATGCGAGTGCACTTGTGAGCTCCACATTGATATCACACCCCATCACGCGTTCCCGCCCATCCCGCGCGGTACCGGTTCTCGTTTTCCTGCAGCCTACCGCCAAGCGCTCGCTCGTTGTTGTCGTCAAGATGATCGTCCGTGGAGCAGTCGAGCCCTGAGCCCCGCAACACCCGCACTACGACGTCCTCGTCATGATCGACACACCTGCTTTTCAAATTCGCCTAAATCCCAACGATGACATCTTCATGCAACATCGAAGATTAGGAACGGCGCGGTATCCGTTTGCCTAATTTCATGACCTGCATTGTTTCCTATTCAGGGCTTGGTGTGGCAGTTTGGCTCCTTGGAGATCGAGACCCGCTTTGCTGCGAGCGTGATGCAACATCGGAAAGGCATTGTGAGGATTGCAGCGCGATCTGCGGGAAGATTTTTTCTGAGAGAAGGGAGCGACTTCGTGTCATCGTCCACCGTGTTTTCAGGTTTAATCTGCGGACGAGCCGTTGCTGACAGCCGGCGTTCATGAATCATATGCTCCTGGTATCGCAACGTATATAACGAGGACTCGACAAGATACGAGACCGAGCGTTACACCGTTGGACGCTATGTCATCTTTGGATGTACCAGGCAGATCTCGACTGACCGCATGCTCCATCGCTGGCAAGGGGTCCAAACAACTAAAGACAATCTGCGGCGGTCGAACGCGGACATTCTTTTCACGCAGATCTGGTACACGTGAGGTCGGTCATTTAGAGCGGGTTCGATGGAAATACGCGGTTGAAGAGCAAGACGAGCGACTTAGCCAATCGTTGCTCGACCTAGGCGGCTCGGCTCTTTTGCAATCGGGCCAGTCGCAGGGGTAATCTTATCGTGGTCATCGGTAACGATCTCGACAGGACCTTCGAGAGATGACAACCGCCATGTCCAAGGTCCATGGTCCAGATGCTCCATATGATGACAAGCACTGCAACAAATTGTCTGGCGTGAGTGATATGGCGAGCATGGGAAGGTCGTTGACCACGATCTGCTGCATCGTGGCGCTTGCATCTCGAATCTGCCGAAGCCCGCTTCGTGATGAAGCAAGCAGGCGTGCCGGCGGTGAGTTGCAGATTGATCGGGCAGCGATGAAGCGAGCGGAAGACGCGGGAAAAGAAAGAAGGACCTTCAATGAGACATTCTACGGGAATACACCGGTGAAAGTCAACTTGGGTGGCGCCTGTTTGGATGGCGGTCTGGGACGTCAGAGAGTTCCTTGTTCGGTCGTCAATGCACATCAGAGAGGGGTCACAAATGTGTAGAGTGTGGCTAGGGGACATAAGTCGTGTCGCTTCGAGGCTGACAGCAATGCATGACACGAAAAAGCTGGGTCATGAGACTGGCAACAGGCAAAGATCATGCCATTGTGGCTTGTTAAACAACAATGGGTATCCTTGCTTTGTGATGGGCAGATCGGATCAGTCTCGAGGCTCTGTGCCAGAAGTAAGCGCTTATTGTGCGGGGATATAACGGCAAGGACCATGCCGGCGACTCCATTCGTGCAGACGAGCTATTAACATGACGATCGGGTAAGGAGCGCTTGAGAAAGGTTGCACACAACGCGGGAATGCGCCTTGTACGAATCATCCGCATGCTGCAATGTTGTCTGGCTAGACGAGGCTCAAAGCGTGCGAAACCGCACGGTCGTAGCAGACTAGCTTCTGCTCACCGTCGCTCCCTCGATTCGTCATTTTCGGTCACCGTAACAAGGTACCACGTACGGCGTCCTCAGGCGAGCTGCGTCTTGGTTGCATATACCGTTATGGCAAAGCCAGAGTTTTTAGCCTGTCTCTTGGTGTGATGAGCCAAGTACGAGCTCCAGCAGGACACATGGCCAGATGTCAACATCAAAAAATGTGGATGCTAAAGTCAAGGGCACACTGTGACTGTGGCTGTCGAGTAGAAGCTAAGCGCAAGGTCCATTTGGTGTGAAATGTTGCATGCATCAAAATGGTGGCTACGTTAAAGCGAGCAAATACTTAGTCCTCGGCGCGTGATCCGATCTTCGGACGCTGTGGTCATGTAGCCAAGGTGTCAATCTTCACAATGGTACTGTAGGTTCTGTTGCGGCGCCCGTATACGCGGATATTGCCTTTGTCAAAGCGCTAGCACAAGACGCAGGTTGTATCACCTTGTGATCGGACTGCCATGGGGTTGGCTACCATGCCAGCATGAACGTCTCCGGTCCGAGTGACGGTAAAAGCAAACAATCCTGCGCTTGGAACCAAGACCCACCCGATTTTGGCGGGACTGTCGTTGTAAGAACGGTCCACTGCAAGGTTAATGCACCGATGCATTCGCCCACTGATGGAGCTCGGATGTGATCTCGAGGAGACACTCAGCGATGTGTGCATGCAGTGACACCTTACTTGCATACGTCTGTTGAGTGTGCACTTCGTAGCGAGGATGTCATGCCTGTCGGCTGGGCGTTAAGAACGGCAGGTTATAGCCAAAACAGTAACCTTGTCAGTCGTGTCTGAGAACCTGGAGCCCTATTGAGCTGTGCACAAGGACCAGTCATCACGTTGCGTCCCACAGGGTTCGCCGACTGGCGGTAACGATAACCCTGGAGCGTATGCAAACATCACCACTTTCAGGAGACAGCAAGGCGCCGACTGTCTGAGGTGGATATTGGCCGAGGCCTTCAGAGGAGCGCTGATGGTCAACTCCGATTAGTTGATGCCTCCCAACGTCGGACAAAGCTAATCCTTGCATTGAGGGAGAAATCCAGCGTGACCCACAGAACAATTCGCGGTGTTTTGACGTCGCCCTAGGCGCAGTCTAGAACGCACATTACGAGCATCAGCTCCTGGCTACGATCGGTAACACCAATTCAAGCTAGCGATCCACTCTTTCCACCTGCTGATTCCAAACCACCAGCTTGCTTTGAAGCAGCTGGCTGTGTTTGGAACGGAGGTAGGCGTGCACATGGTAAATAGTGTGAACTGTTCAATGCTGCATGTCGGTCATGGCTTGCCTGACTTCATGTGGTTCCTAGGTCATGATGCTGAAGCCTTCAAATTTGCAGAAGAGCCTTCGTATTCGCACTAAGAAAAGAAAGCTTCTCAACCAGCAAGTGGAGCCAAGGAACCGACCACCAGGGATAGCGAACTGGAACTGCTTCCTTTTGTTGGTTAGCACTGCCGCGAGCAGCTTTTTTTTTTGCCAACAGTCGTCTACGATGCAACGCCACGTTTGGACCCACTCGTCTCGTGGCACTGTGAAGAGTACGTCATGGGGGTGTTTCCCGTGTTGCAGATTGCCGGACGGAGGCTGCCAGAGATGGGCAGCGCTTGGCTTGCAACGGCTGGTTCGAGAACGCACGCCTGCTAGAAACCGATCCTTGGAGATGGAACGGCTGGGTGCACTTCGCAATCTCGATTAATTGAACCAACAGAATGCATAGCATCACTATGATAGTTGACTAGCGGAACTATACCGCCGCATTGTCGCATTGTGGTGAGTTCTACGAGTGGTCTTTAGTTGCGCCCGCGTTGAGCCCATGGTAAGGTATGTCTAAGTGTGCTGCTACGATCTGCTACCGTTCGCAAAGATTTGCAAACGAAGTCGACCATGAAGTGTGCAGGGCACGACAGGGTTAAGAACCGGCGCTTACATGAACACCGTCTGTCTCGTGATGCACCAGGTGGGACGGCTGCATCACAATCCTTCATAAAAAACGGCCGAGGCCGATTGCTGCAGTCATACCGACTACTGCAAGCGGGATACGCGGGTCATGGTGAAGTACGGGGAATAAGGTGTGCGATTGGTTCGTTCTGAAGCCTTAGACGCGCAGTGGTCAAGGCTGGTGATCAGCATCTGGTCACGAAAGTTGCGATGCATGTCTGTTGTGACCTGAAAGACTGCCTGAAGGACCATGAGCTGTGTCTTACTCACATCACTCGTCTGTTGTTGTGGAATGAGCGTGTGTGTGCAAGTGTTGATCCGAATTCAGGACGCGTCAGCCCAATAGTGACTCGTACGGGGACCGCTGTGACTTGGTAAACGTTAGTGATGCAAATTATTGTACAGTCATGATGGACAATCCATGCATCCACACCTGTGGTTTCTACTACCCCTTCTGGCGACAAGACACCAAACCCCTGACACGTTCCGGTTCGTTTGAACCGCCAAAACCATCCTTGCGCCCGCGTTGGACCGCTGTCGATCATTTACACGGGATGCTACTAGGGCGCTCGGCGCTTCGGCTGCATCTGCTCAAGCCACGCCACGGGGATTTCTCGTTATCGAAAACGGCATTGCTGTTTTGGGCTTGGTCACCGTGGGGTCATTTAAGGACGCCTGGGTGGCCTTTAATTTGCTGAGGTTACCGTCAACCGTCATCGTCGTTAAGCCAATTAGCGACAGGGTTGGTTAATAATAGCGGCAAGCTGCATCGTGAAGAGTGGTGCACAAGGCTTTGTCAATGAGGCGCAGCCAGACTTCGTCACCCTCAATCTACTGAATGCAGCGCACCACATCACGGCGATCCGAAACAATACACCTTTCATAGCGACGGCGTCGGCGACGGCGTCGGCTGTCACGTACAAGTGCTGCCTATAAATATCAGCCTACGGCCAAGTCGCGTATGTGAGTTGCAGAACCGAGGACCATTGAATGGAGATCCACCATCGAAGGGAGCTTGTTGACGGTGTTTTACGTTTCTCGGGCCTTGATTCAGGACTCAGCTGTTTTCCTTGTTTCGTGCGCTTCATGTGCTGCTCCGAGTGAGTATGGCCGGTGGCCTGGTGTCAGCAGCCTGCGCATGGTTTCAGAGAGGTCGATGATCCTCAGCAATAATGGCGAGGTAGTCTGTTCATCACTGGCTAACTGGAACGGGTATATCATGTTCGCCAGTCGCATAAGGGGTGCCTGGGTGCCCGCAGTGACGGCACACGCTCCCATGGTGGAGGGTGGACCATGGAGGGGTGAAGCGGGTGCTCTGACTGTTCTCAGGCGCCTGTGGGTGAGGCTGATGGCATGCGCATGCGCATGCGCTTTGCCGGGCGAATGTGATGTGCTGATTGCTGCAATCTCCGTTGAGTTGCTGCCCGTTGGCTGTGTGACTTCAGTGGATGCAGATGTCTATGCTGCATGCATCCTGTGACGACCCATGTCATGCTCCGTTGTCCCCGTTGCAGGTCCACACTGGCAGGGACAAGCTGATTGCATATCGATTTCTGGAAGACGCTCGGCTGCAAGGTGGCCAATGGTGACAGCGAAGCGGCACCCACCCCAGATCGCGCTTGGATAACCCATGGGCCAGCAGCTTGGTTTACCGACGGCACGCGCAACCAGGCAGGAGGCGCTGGGTTGCGGGCATAGTGGAGAAATGCACGCCTGACAGCGAGTAACGATTGGTCGTTAGTACCGGCCCTCCGTAAAGAGACATCGCCGGCGCAGGGAGGCCAACCTCGCTTCCTGGTGTTTCCCGACTCCGAAACCAGGTACTGCACCTGCTCTCACCAAAGTTTGACGTTCTCATCGACCCCCTGATTTGGCGACTGGCGATGGCGCCCAGCGACACGGCTTTCCGCTGCAATACGCACTAACAAATCTCGTCCCGCCACTTGGTCATCAGCAGCGCAATATTGTTTACATGCGACTGGCTTAGCCCAGCCATGCCAGTGTCGCCCAGCTTCCTCTTACTACAGGTGCATCGTTGCGGGCGCGGCTAAAACATGACGCAGCCGATGCTGGAGTCGCCATGCACCATCCTTCCTTCGTTGACCGCCTGGAGGGCCCCGTGCACAGGACACTCCACCCTGGCTCGGGCCCAGCTGAATCGCAACTGTACGTTCATCCTTCCGGAGCCTAGTCGCACTACCGCACTGTACCGTCACCTTTGTGGGTGCGGTAGCTTGCCTTCCTTGCTGTCTCGATGAGCCGGCCAACCTCCGCTGCACGGTTTCTCCGTTGCGCCATGATACATTGGTACCCGCCCTCGTCGACTGTCTTCCTTGTCCTGTGATTTGGTCATTCCTCGCGTTACTTTTCGTCGTTTTGCATCCCACGCCTTGGATCAACGTTCCAGCCGTGCCACTCGGCCTAGTCGTCACAGCGCTCCCTCACCGAGCTATCCCTTGGTGGCTCCGTATGAAGTAGTCGAGAAGTGTCCGCTCCATGTCTGCTTCCATTCCACTTTTAGCAGTTCTTGAGTTTCCACTAGTCCGGCCCCGGCATTTCTTGTACAGACCATGACTTGTCCCGCGACATTCATATATCCTACCTGATTCGTCTACCTTTCTTGGCACTCTATATACATTTCCATGTCCCCCACTCTGAGTACTCAAGCCGGACAAGTGCGACTGTAATGTATACGACTGCTCGATAACAAACTTCCGCAAACCTCGTCGATCTACATCAACTTCACATCTAATCGACATTGTTGTGCTCACTGGCACACATCTTTCACCATGTCCGCCCATACGATCAATTCACAACTTCCACGACGGACCTCGCGAAGCTCAGGAACTCAACTGCCTCGTTCCTCACGCGTCGAAAAGCCAAAGAGCCACCACAACAGTCCAAGGACCATAGAGAGGAGGAAAACAACAACAGAGCCCAAGCTCTATGCAACACTTGATGACCATTATAAGATGATGTTTGGAATCGAGGATTCAGAAGAGGAGGTCGAAGAGCGTCCGCAGCCAACTAGGCCTGTAAGCTGGCACCCATCGTCCAACCAGTGGTTCGCAGCGCATTCGTCAGCACATGTAGCGTCGCCTTCACAACAAGAATGGTCCTGGCACGCACCGTCAAGAAACTCTAGTCATGGATCTGAGTTCTATTCTCTTTCGACACGCAATTCTATGTACGAGTCGAGCACGAACTGCCAAAGATATCCGGCCGGATATGGAACGCTTCGAAGGTCAGATGAGTCTGCCTACAGCTGGCAGGGCGCTTCTCAACATACGCAATCCTACGCTCAATCGGCTCTCAACACCCCCACTACCGAATCCCTTCCCTGGTACTTGCAACAGTGGGCTCAGAAGAACCAAACACACTCATTCAGGGACTCTGCAGAATTCTTGCCCATCCAGCACCCCTCGGATCAAGATGACCAGATGGATGAGGAGGATGATGGCAAAGAGCTGGTTGGCATGGGTCTTTACGACGCTCCGGACCCGACTTCGAACTGGGGCGGTCTGGTAGAAGCTACTGGCAAAGGTCTTAAGCTGGAGGAGACTTGGCAACCACCAGAGACTGAGGAGGAGGATGACGACGACGCAAGCTCGGTGGGCAGTATGGACGAACCTTCCCCACCGCTTCCGGCAACCAATCAGCAATGCCAGCAACTGCAGCTTCCGGTCCACGTCAAAGCTCAGACACCCGGCAGCATGGAGGGCCAGAGCTTCTTTTTCGACGACGATGAGACAGTATCGAAGGAATGGTGGTTCCAACAGCTGAAGCAGCCCAACGTACCAGTGCAGGACGCTGGACTGGGATATGGCTGGCTGCGTTGAACACCACTTGCACCAGCATTTTAGAGAGGGCTCACACTTACAGCGAGGTGTTTTGACCATTCCATTCTGGACGTAGAGCATTTAAGTGATACCCCTTGCCTTCATGGCACCATCGCTCGATTAGAGGTCAGATGAGTTGTAAACACAACACAACAAACAATAAGAAGCATGAGTTAAACTCAACACTTGCCGTCTCATGAACCCAAACTGCCGTAAAGACATGATCAACATTAGCTCCACTACACCTTCAACAAGTTTTCGCACTTCACATTTCACCAGTGCTGCGGCACCTCCACAATCGTACCGTGCATGCAAATTCAAAGCTAATCTCATATCGGCATCACCTCCACGTTGTCCACTCAGATCCCTACCATGGATGTCCCCGCCGCAGGACTGACAGATACCATAAGGAATCACAGCACCCGGAAGCTCGCCGAAGGAAGATCCTGCAGTATGAGGACGCGAAAACCAACCGTCAATACGACAGGCTATAACTTTTGCTCTCTGCCGCATGCGTCTCACCAACCTAAATGCCCCCGATGCACCGCCGTGAAAACGCTGCTTGCGGAACGCTGTTCAAGTTCTTGCATGTCACCGCAGGCGATCTCGGGCTCCGCCGTGCCTGTCTCTGATTCGCAATACAGGAAGTACTTGTGACAAGTACCTGCGCGCGACAACGACTTGGTGCACGTCCGAAGTGAAACCTTATGCGCCCTGCACCGAGGCCATCAGCATCCACGCACCAACCTGCACACATTTCATCTCCCGGCTCCTGAATTCCTTCCAGCGCCGCGCCAGCAGTCCCATGGTCCTCACACGGCGACTAGCAGCCCGCTTCCTTAGCGCAGCATTAACCAGAATAAGATTTGCGAGCCACACGCACAGAGCAGAGTAGGTTCTGGAAACCCAGCGTGATGGGACGCCTCATTTGCGCTAGAGCGAGAGTGCCATGACCTTCACGGACGGGGCTTGTCCGGTGCGTCGTGCGTCGAGGCCGCGCGGGCGCTCCATATCATTTGATGCACGACTCGTTGAATGTGACCATAGCCTACTGGTAAGGTTCGGTATCACTATCGATAAAGAACCGTATCGCGTTCGGCAAATTTCGATTTGAACCAGCTCTCACGTGCACGAACTTTCGAAGTGGACAAAGACGCGTTAGCTGCAACGATCGCTCTGGCCAATCGTAGCAGGATTCCGACCACTGCACGCCTTGAGCAAGTAAAGCAACGATCGCGAGCTGGTTCAGCTCCCATGGAATCGTACACGCATTTCGTTGTTACACCGTGGCGCAATAGCCAGGAGCTGGTTCAGCTTCGGCGAGACCTGTACCGACTCAACGACGATAACGTCGATCGTAGAAAAGGCGCCGTGAACAAGGTTCGTAAGGAATCGCCCTTGACGAGAGATAGTGAGGTGGAGGGCTGATGAGAGGTAGGTACTGGCATGGCGGGCGAGACACGAGAGTCTGCCGTTGTTGCTGGAGTCGACAGCAGACATCCTTGATGTGATACTTCAAGATGAGGCGGGCACACTCAACCACAATGCTACGAGATTGCTATATGCAACATCCATATCAAGGTAAGGTATAATCGAATTTTGATCCTCTTATGCTGTTCTACTGTTGCCCTGCCTGCTCTCTCTTATCCAGCACAATCCTTTCGTGCTCTTCGCACCAAAGTGTGTCTCTCATAGCACGACTCTCACCTCTTCATCTAACTCGATCGTCTTTCTGCCCTCTGGCCACCATCTGCACATCACTTCATCGTGGCTTTCACTGGTCCTTGTATTGCTCTCTTCTCTTTCAAGCCCATCATTCTAATTCGATCACCTCATCTCAATCCTCCCTAACAGCAATACAGGTTCGTAACCGGCTACCTCGACACCCAAATCGACTTAACGCGCGATCGCCCATCATGGTTCCCTCCAGGCAAATCCATCCAACCGCCCGTCTCCCTCCTCGAAGTTCGCCATTGCATTGTCCACCGACACATGCCCTCCTTAGCGGAATTGAAGCGCGCCGCACGCACCGCACTGGACTGGCTCTGGGACTGGTACTGGTCACAACTTGAACACGCCTTTGGACTGCCCACGACCTCACCTTCCAGCGATGATCCAGGCGCAGACGGCGGTGTAGCAGAAAAACTTCATAACATCCTCAAAACGTACGTAAAGGCGAGGAAACAGGAGATCAAAGCGAAGCGACGGGCAGATCTGTGCACATCTGCAGCGAGAGCATGGTCCACATATACACTGCGCTTCACGTCTGGTGACACCACGCTGCCCTCATCGGCAACACAGACAGCACTCCTCCGCCTCCTCGTAAACGACACCCAGATCCTGCCCCAGGACAAGGGACTAGGATCCAGTATGTCTGGAGCCTTCCTAATCTGGTCCCCCTTCCTCCTACTCTTCTCCTTGAACAGCCCGTCCTTCTTTCCCGCCCACCTCGCTCTCGCTAGCGAGCAAATAAATAGCCCGGATAGAAGCGAGGCGGAGAAAGAGGGCTTGTGTGAGTGGGCGATACACATGCTGGGTTCGCGCGACTGGCGGGAGGCTAGAGGCAGTAAGGAACGGGCGATAAGGGAGAAGGTTCTGGGGGAGTGCATGACTGAGCTTGGGACGTGGAATTTGAGGCTCGCTGAAGGTATCGTGGATGCGATGGATTACGGAGAGGGCGAGATGTGGCAGGCGATTCTGGATGCGAGTCGCACCGAGGGTGGGGAGAATATGGTTGTCGATAGAGTTGAGAGGGCGGAAGAGACGAAGGAGACGGAAGAGGGTTTGGAGGTCATTGAGGGGGTCGAGAAGCTTGCGGAGGCGGTGCCGGCTGAAAAAGAAGGCCGGGCGAAGGCTCCTGAGTCTGGCGAAGCCAAGGAAAAGATCATAGGGCTGCAGAAGGTGGTTGGGTTGTGGAAGCCGAAGCCTATAGGTTGGCTACCTGACGGTTGGGAAGAAGATGCGTAAGTACGTTCCACGCAGGCTCCAAGGAGCTAGAGGTATACCCCATAGACGCCGAGGAGTCCAGAAAGATCAAATGTCACAAATCTCTCATTATTTTCAGATACCAACACTCTAGATGTGAGCGCCGCAAAGCCGTGCGCGCTTCCAAAGCCTGCCCGGACCCCAATGGCCCTAGATCTTGTGCATGCTCCGCCAGATCCAGCGCGCTATGCAATTCAATGGACGTGGATATGTTGTACAGTATATAGTCTCTATGTTGTTTACATGGCCGCTTTGGTCCCTGTGAAACCGAAGCGGTCCTCGACCCTGCGCATGTACTTGTTCGTCTGTTCGGCGAGGGTAAGAGTAAGAATCTGGGACCTGTCAGCACTTTGTTCTTTACTACCTCGCTCTGGGGACTCACAGTGTGAGGCAAGATCCTGGCCAGATGCGCAAAGTAGCCCTTGTACATAGCCATAATGCCTTCCGTCTTGATCGTTCGGTACAGGCAGTCGAAAGCCGAGCTGTACAGATTGCCAGTCTGGTTGTACATGCGCGACATGATAGTGTCCGGAGGGTGCATGACGCAGCAGACGACAAATCCACTAGCTGTGCTGCTGGCAATGTGCAGAAGCGTGCCTTCCTCCATACCAAAGTGCTTCGCCAGCCGCCTCTTCGCGAAAAAGTATGTTGGTAGCTGAACGGAGCTACCAAAACCGGTGCGCACCATCGCTGGCCCTACACCACGGTAGAGTCCCTTGATACCTTCACTTGTGTAGATCTTGCGCATGCCATCGACGGCGCCGGAGTAGTTGTGTTGTGTTCCCACGGGTAGGAATGGCGAGTACGATTGTAAGCGTGTCTTGACGAGGAAGAAAGGCGATCCAGCTGCGGCTCCCAGTATACCTGATGCCGCACCGGAGAAGATGTTGACGCCAAAGGATTGCACTGTAGGATCGTGGTATATGGCCTTCGTGACGCCTGCTCTCAGCGGCTCGTAGAACCCTAACCGACATCCGTTGAGGGTCATCTGATAGACGTAGGCGCAGTTGATACCGCGCAGGAGACCGCGAGGGCCTTCGTTGGAGAGAATGACCTTAACGCCATGGAATACACCCTTGTACATGCGCGGTGCTGCCTTCTTTGATTGCAGCTCTCCTTGTAATTGCAATCTGCCAGCTTGTCAATGCCGCTCTGCGTGCGCGCACTCCGGATATGAGCTCACCGAATCTTGACTGTCTCGAACCCGTGGGTAACCGTCACCGCACCGCATGCTGCGATTCCACCGGCAATGAACGACCTACAGAGGTCAGCTTCTGCACGATGCTTCGTGTGCTACCGGCGACGCATACCCCAGCGTTGTGGACATTGTGGCCCCTTTTGCGACAGCGCTTTGTATTCCCGGTTCCGGACTTGCCGTGCTCTCGGCTTCCTTTCACTCTGTAGTGTGTGGAAGGTACTTCCGGGGTTCTTGACAATGCCGTCAGGGAGAGGTCAGAGCACGATGAGGGCTGCCGTGAGCCCAGTCTGCGTCAATTGAAGGTTGTCGCTGCCAGCGGTAAGCTCAGTATGAATAATCCGTACATTTCCTACGGCCGAGGTCGGCGTGTCTGAGTGTGATGCAAGCGCCAAGTCCAGGGTCCGCTGCAGCGATCTACGCTCTCCCGCGCGGCTTAACATTTCGAAGCTGCGCGCGTGTGCTCGTGGACACGCGACGCGACTCGACCTTTGGTGCCAGTCTGAGGGCACACAATGCTGTAGAACTCTTTCTCAAGGTCGCATCCACAGCGCCTTCTTCCCCACATCATGGTAACTGGATCAGCAACCCCAGGCCCTCCTCCGCCGCCTGCAGGGCCGCCGACGCAGAAAGTGAGCGACGTCATATCGAGCTTCCGGCCAGCAAGAGTGAGCTTCAGTCCTGCCTTCAAGGAGTGTATTGCACTAACGAGCTATCTAGCGCTTCAAGTCCGGCAGCTCAGGCACGTCCATCACCTCTCTCGACTTCGACGACACAGGCGAGCTCGCCATTGTAGCACGCGACGACGATACGCTCCAGATCTACAACTGCAAAGAAGGAAAGCACGCCAAGGAGCTGAAGTCGCAGAAGTATGGTGTTCATCTGGCGCGCTTCTCACATCATGCGCAGAGCATCATCTACGCCAGCACAAAGGTCGATGACACACTGCGCTTCCTCTCCACACACGACAACTCGTATATTCGATACTTCAAGGGCCATGAAGACACAGTAACGTCGATATCCTTGTGTCCTTCGTCTGACACATTCATCTCTTGCTCGGCGGACAACACAGTCCGTCTCTGGAACCTGCAATCACCGAATTACGTCGGCCGCCTCAACCTCCACAAGCCCTATCTCGCTGTCTATGACCCCTCAGCGACAGTCATCGCGATTGCCTCAGCCGACACCCAGACAATACTGCTATACGACATACGCAACTACGACAAGCCGCCCTTTGCGACCTTTGATTTGCAGGAGCTCGAGCAGCGATTCCTTGGCGGACGAAAGGGCCAGTGGACTAAAATTGAGTTCACCAACGACGGCAAGAGCTTGGTTGTCGCGACCAACGACAGCGGCCACTTTGTACTTGATGCCTTTTCTGGCGACATTACGCACTTCTGCTACCGCAAAGGAGGATCTTCAGGGCGGCTTACACCTGGTGTGTCTCGAGGCAGCCACAACTCCCACAAGTCGAATGGGAGCACTCCTTCCGTTGGGCAAGGCGATCTCTGCCTCACTCCCGATGGCCAGTACCTGATCGGTGGCAGTGGGGACGATGGTCTCTTGGTCTGGGACATCTCGAAAGCGGCGTCGCCAAACAACGTTCTGGAGCCTATGGAGAAGCTACCTGGACATGGACGAGGGGCAATTGTGGGCTACAATCCCAGGACGAACCTGCTGGCTAGCGCAGACCGGGACTTTTACTTGTGGCAGCCGGACCCAGATCTGATGATCTGAAGTTTCGAAGGTGATTCAGTATGATAAAGAAGCACGACAGTACGAAGAGGCAAGCACACGAATGCTACACCTAATTCTCGTCCGATATAGGCTTAAATGAGGACACGAAACATATCTTTAGCGTGGACATAGCACACGGAGTTGGCGGACGTGTATAAGGAAAGCTACTGCCCAAAGAGACTGAGCTGGTTGGGTGCAGATCTACACAAGGCACAAGCGTCTTCGGAGGTATTGATGAGACAGCCAACACTCAACAAGATGACCACAGAGTTCTCTGTCATCTAAGTTGATTGGGTCTAGGACGATAATTGTATGGAGATTCCAGAATTCGAGCGACTATTACAGCCCTTGACTATTCACCGCACACAGCAACTTGAATTGCAGGCAAATGACATACTCTAGATCCCATTCATCATCTCACCGCACTTTCCACCTCTGCACTTGGTCTGTCGCCGTCAAGCACCAGTACGTCATAGCCGGATCATCGCGGCTTCGTGCGCTCAGCAGCGATATCGACTTCGGACGGTCAGGCTGCAGCATCGTTTTCAGTCTGCTGTGACGAGCACCACATTGCTTTTTCAAGTGAAAATTCCGCATGCTCACGTTGACACTTGCACAGTGGCACTGAGCCTCACGGTGACTCATTCAAAAACGGCCATTGGACCAGCGTCCTCATGGACATTGCGTGCTCATCACTGCGGATAGATGCGGAGTGCAGAGTGGAGTGCAGCTCAAAGGTTTTGTGTGAGGTGGTTGGTTGACACCGAGCCGTTCGCAATGCGCCGTACTCCATTTTCGTTTGCTCAAAATCTCTAAGCAGGGTAGAGTCCAGACAGGTGCGCAGTAGCTATGATTCATGAATAGCTTCACAGATATCAAAGAACCAGGCAATGTTGACTTCACAAAACCGATAATCGTTTGCACTATTCGCAATAGCAGGTGCCCAGTTGCTCACCCTTCGAATATTAACGCTGGTCGAGAAACCTGTGATGCTTGTCTGATCGGCGCAATTGGCAGGAGCGAACAAGGATCTGCGGAAAGCTACTCCTGGCCTTGAAGCCTCACTCTGCGCCACCTCGATTCATTATGCGTCGGAGACATTCTCCTCGCAATCTTTCTCAGTGTTTGCGTCGCCACATGCGCGATTTGTGCATGCGCGATTTGAGTTGCTTGATAGGAACAGGACGTACTTCGTAGCGATCGTTCGTCGCCTAGACTCCAGCAGCCCCATCAAGCATCCTTGAGGATGCCCGATCATATTAGGCAAGCCTATGCAAGCTGAGGGCGTCCAGATGCGATGGTGGACAATCACATATCACGTTGTCCAATTGTATTGGGAAAGGGGAGCTGACAATGTGCATGGTTCTCCGCATTGTGCCCATAGCGTCGCCATAGCGTTGGGTCGATGAACCGCCTCTTCAATAGGAACACAGCTCCCTCGCTGAAGGCAATTGGAAAAAAGCTGCGACCGAAAGCCTTCACGATTCACCCACACCGTATCGCATTGCCGGAACGCTGTTTGCCGCGATCTCGGCATACCTAGTCTCCGCTCTGGGGGTATGGCACGCGCACCTCGACACAGCAACATCTGGTCTCGTGATCTATACAGGACTTCGATCTTCCAACTGAGCCATACAGGACGGCTACAGGCACCTCTTGTGCCGATGTGCACTGGTCATCACAGTACATCGCTCCGCTAGTACAGGCATCATCGTTGAATGCCTCCAGCCGTGGTACTTTCCTCCACGTCAGCGCTTACCGTCGATTGAAGCCTCCTACGATCAACGCGAGCATGCCGACTTGTTTGCCCAGCCATATTTCCCTTTCAAGACGGCATATGAAGTTGGGCAACGGAGGATGACGCCCCCTCAATCCTTGCGCGGTCCAGGAAACGACCACCTCCAGGCACTTATTCCTATGCTAGATCTAGCACAGCCAACGATACCGTTTGAGCAGCTGCCACTCCCCGATATGGCCCTCGCCTTCCTGCCAAGATCTCGCTTATCAGAGTCGAAGAAGCGTGGCAGGTCAGCAGCAGATGTCGACGGGGAACACTCGTGTCTGCACAAGAAGAAACGAAGACTTAGACTGTTCCTCATAACCTCTCGGCTATCGCCCCAATTCTCCCATCCAGCTACCAACATTGTCGACAGAGGAAGCTCAAAGATCGCCATCTGGGCAAAGCAGAAGAACCTTGGACGCAACCTGCTTCGCAAGGCGGCCATACTGAATCGCATTCGACGCAATGCTGTTGCAGCGCGTGAAGAAGTTTCGCGCAGACGGCTACTTGTAGAGCAAGAGAAGGAGCAGCGACAGCTTGAGATGGCACGTTTGACCTTCAACTACGGAGCGATTGACACATACACTCGTCCTGTCCATTTGCGGCCAAACGCCCTACCCGCCGCTGCGCTTCAAAGCAATGCCCAATACCTTATCACTGGCTCTCCCACTGGCTCTCCATCTGGCTCGTCAGTTACCTCGAGGAGCCCATCACCCTCATCTATCTCTCCACCGACATGTGGTCCAGGCAACGACAGCCCATCGGAGCACTGGAGTCCAAACGCCGCCTATGCTCTCTCCCCGCCCCGCGCCCAATCCTCTATCCGCAGCTACGAACCCCACCTCCCTTCACCCCTCGGACTCTCTAACTACGACGCCTTCGATGCCGAGAACCTGGGTTATAAAGACATATCCGCTGCTGATATGCACTCGCATTTCGACGACGATGACGAAGAAGACCGGTACTATTACCTCTGGGACGAAGTCGAGGACGAGCTTGAGGACGAGAGACATGATAGCCCCTTCTCGGTGTCAGTGGTTACGAACAATTCAAGAACGACTGCAAATACGGGAACGAGTAATACCTTAAAGACACCGCCGCAGGCGGCTCATGATGATTTCGATCTATCAGACACTTTCCTTGGTAGACCTGAGGAAGACGAGGATGTAAATTCGGTGTGGCCGAGTCCATTCATCAGCGCTGAAGTGAGAAAGTCGAAGAAGGGCGCCGAGGGTACGATTCTAAATTTTCGTGCCTTTAATACGGGACCCCTGGCTGTTCAGTATCCTGGTGCGCCTGTACCCTGTACCGAGCAAGTGCTGGCAGTGACCCCCCCTGTTCTGTCGCCAAATCTAGTGCCGGCTTCTATGTCACCTAATTTTCTCCCTGCCGACTCGGCGGGCTGGCCAGAGGTTGACATGAGGGAAGGGAAGAGGCAAGGCAGTCTTTGTCAAAGAGACGAGCATGTACGATAATTCTGTGTTGTAACGGCGGCATAGCGAGCGGAACAATCCCCTCCTACACGTCTGCTCAGTTGTCGCCGTCCTGTCGGTCGCTTGTCCTCAGTACAAAAGCGTACACTGTTGCAGTTTTGCAACACTGGTACTCCACTGTCCCCTCACCAAATCACACAATACACTTCCCTCCCCAACATGACCTTCTCAGCGGAATCTCCCTTCCTCCCACTTCGCCCAGCCCCTTCCACTACTCGACTTTCGCCTCCACACCTGCTTCCAGCTTCGGAACGCGCTACCACGAATCTTTCCTTGCTCCTTCCCTGCCGCTGCATCACACGCCTCTCGAACCTTCGCCTGCGCTAATTCGAAGAAGCCGGCTTTCAAGCTCCACTCCCGCTTCTCGGCCATCTCTTCTCTCAGCAGCACCTTCTCCTCTCGTTTCTCGAGCTCGATATGGTGCTTCTGGATTGCTCGCTCGCGTTCTTGGATTGTCGGTCTTGCGGGCTTCGATATTTTGATTTGGCAGAGTCCTCTGAACGGTGATGCGGGTTTCGAAGGGCAGTGAATGCGTGACTTGTATTTCTCTGCATGAGTGTGTGAGGATGGCAGGACACAGACGTAGGGTTTGAAGGAGCGAGAGGAGGAGATGGTGCTGACAAGGGAGGTTGTGGAGGTGTTCATGGCGGGCTATAGTTAGCGTTCGGTGTGATGAGGGCTCGGTGGCCATCAAAACTGTCACGAGGGAGACTTTGGTATCTGTCGTTGCCAGGTGAGATTTTGTGCTTGACGATATGGCAAGGGGGGCAAGTGGATGCTCATCCTAGCTGTCGGGTAAAATGTGACATATTGATGATACACGTCGACGGGCACAATCTTCGTCTCTCTTACTGCCGAGGGAAGGCACACAACCAACGGATAGTCGTTCAAGACAACCAACGGATAGCCGTTCGAGCCGAGCTGCCGATAATGTATGGAATGTACCGCAAACCAGGGCGTTGTCTTCTTAAAGAATGCCGTGGTAGTATCGCATAGCTCGACGACGTACAAGGGATGCCCTTGGTAGGATTCTGCTTGCTGGTGGTACCCTCCTGCAGGATATCACGAAGAAAAACGGTTGGGGGTGGCAAGCACATGCGAGATGATACGAAGCAGCACTGGCAGCACACGATCAAAGCCGCACACTGGACATGCCAAGTTGTTGCGGTTTCCGGACGACAGATTCTAGTCGCTGTATCACTGGATACAGTTGCGGTCACGATTGGCGTAGCCAGGTCCTAAGTATCAGTCCAGGAATCTGCTGAATTCTCTCATACATTAACGTTTTAGCTTGCGATTACAACCGAGGCAATAGCTGAAGAAGACATTTGAGGGCATAGCTGATGAATGGCGTGACAGAACACTAGACTAATATGCCAAGACATCGGTGACAGTCAATTGGGCGGCCATCGAGGTCATCGAGGAGGCGTGACCATCGAGCGGTCTATTGTAGGCCCAAGAAGAAATCGTGAACGAGCCCACACGAATAGATGTTAAGGTCAATGACACTGCGCTCGAATAACAAGCAAATGACTGTCTTGGGAAGGAAAGGAACGCTATCACTAGTCTTTTCGATGACAGTTGCGCATGAAGGAAAAGAATGGTGATCAGTTGAAAGTGTCCGCAAGGGTACGCTTCAGAATTCAGTCACTACGATCATTTCTGCAGACGCCTGCTGCATACTGTGAGCTAAATAAAAGTCGAATACGCCTCAAGAAATGAGTGCGCAAATGTCGATGTGAGATGAGGTTGAGTAGCAGCGACTTCAGAGTTCCTGGCGCCCAAAGAACGTACGACCGCCTTTAGCAAGCAAAAGACATGCCGAACGACGCATTATGGGGAGTACGATGCCAAAAAGAACGGCGTCCAAGGGTGAGAGTGAATCTCGACATTGGCCAACACCGGCAAAATGAAGTCAATGAGATTGTGCCACCTACCCGAATCGAACGAGCGATCTTCGCATTACAAGTGCGACGCCTTACCACTTGGCCAAGGAGGCTTTACTAATTAGATGAGTCATTTTACCGATATACAACAAATAACGTTCTTTCCGAAACTCCGCGTGCGTATTGCGATTTTGCTTCCACTCTTGCTCTCACCCCCACTAGCAAGGTTGCTCCGTTATCGGCATGACTGCTTTTATTACAGGGGAAAAGGTGTCATCGCTCCAGAAATCGGCGCCTCAAATGATCAACCTACATGGCGAAGCTGACACGATAGGACTTGGGGAACGTAGTATGTTGCTCATAAAGTGGGAATCAATTCTATACGTCCATGCGCCTCCTAGTTTTCAACGTGTGAACTACGTAAAGCGCGAATCGGTCGTTCATCGCAACCCTTCAAACCAGACACCCTGTACTAACAACGCTATCATCATACGCAGACGCTTAGATAAGCTGCTGGAAAGCACGGTTGAGGGGCGAGCGGAGAGGCTTAACCTCCTTGTAGAAGTCAACGGTGAGCTTCGCGCGCTTGGCAATACCCTCGGGGGTGAACTCGAACTTCTTGTAGACCTCCTTGTAAGGACCGGAAGCACCGAAGCGGTTGAGACCGAACTGCTCGTGAGAGTACTTCTCCCATCCCATTGTGGACATAACCTCGACGGACAACGAGGGGATGCCGTCGGGGATGACCTTGAGCTTGTAATCCTTGGGCTGAGCGTCAAACACCTCCCAGCAGGGCAAAGAAACGACACGAGCCTTGAGACCCTGCTCCTCGAGCGTCTTGACGGCCTCGAGACAGAGGGAGACCTCAGAACCAGTGGAGACAAGTGTGATGTCAGCACCCTCCTTCTCGAGAGCGACGTAACCACCCTTGATACCATTCTCGAGTGTGGAGCCCTCAAGCTGGGGCAGGTTCTGACGGGTAAGGGCGAGGATGGAGGGAGTGGACTTGGAAGTAAGAGCCATGTAGTAGGCAGCGGAGGTCTCGTTGCCATCAGCGGGACGCCAGACCATGCAGTTGGGCAGAGCGCGGAAGTGAGCGAGCGTCTCAATAGGCTGGTGAGTAGGACCGTCCTCACCGAGACCAATGGAGTCGTGAGTAGCAACGTGGATCAGACGCTGGTGGGACAGAGCCGAGAGACGGACGGCACCGGCGGCGTAGGAAACGAAGTTGAGGAAAGTTCCACCCGCGGGGATGATGGTACCGTAGGCGGACAGACCGTTCATGACAGCTGCCATGGCGTGCTCACGGACACCGTACCTCATGTAACGACCAGACCACTCTCCGATACCGAGGTTGGGTGGCTGGAAGTCAACAGCCTTTTTCCATCGGGTGTTGTTGGAGCCAGTCAAATCGGCCGAACCGGAGATGAGCTCAGGAACCACATCGTGAATAGCCTCGAGGACGGCCTCAGACAGCTTGCGGGAAGCAATGGCAGCGTCGGTAGGCTTGTATGTGGGAAGGGACTTCTCCCAGCCCTCGGGCAGATCTCTGCTGCGGCGACGGACAAGATCCTTGTGAAGCTCGGGGAACTCCTTGCTGTACTTCTCAAGGAGCTGGTTCCACTCCTGCTCAGCAGCGGCACCCTCAGCAGCGTGCTTGTGGTATTGGTCGTAGACCTCCTGGGGAACAACGAAGGTCTTCTCGGGGTCGAACCCGAACTTCTCCTTGACGCTCTTGATGTCGTCGGCCTTGAGAGGGTTGCCGTGAACACCGCCAGTACCCTGGAGCTTAGAGCCGAAGCCGATGGTGGTGGTCAGCTTGATGACGGAGGGCTTGTCCTTGACCTCCTGTGCCTTCTTGATGGCGGCCTCGATGCCCTCGAGGTCGGAGTCACCGTCGGCGACGTGCTGTGTGTGCCAGCCGTAGGCCTCAAATCGCTTCATGACGTCTTCAGTGAAAGCGCACTTGATGTCACCGTCTGCAGTCTCTGTTAGCGCACCAAAACCAAGATACAGGGACTTTCGAACATACCAATAGAGATGTGGTTGTCATCATAGACCATGATGAGGTTGCCGAGCTGCAAGTGACCGGCCATGGAGGCAGCCTCGGAGGCGATACCCTCCATAGCGCAGCCATCACCGAAAAAGGCGTATGTGTAGTTGTTGAACAGCTCGTAGCCGGGCTTGTTGAAGACGGCAGAAGAGTGCCTCTCAGCGATGGCAAGACCGACGGCGTTGGCGAAACCCTGGCCGAGAGGACCAGTGGTGACCTCGATGCCGGGGGTGTCGTGGGCCTCGGGATGACCAGGCGTGATTGAGTCGATTTGCTGTTGCTGTCAGACTTGGCTCTTTTCGCCCATTGACCCCCACATTACTTACACGGAAGTTCTTTAGGTCGTCCATGCTAACGCCGTAGCCGAACAGGTGAAGAAGAGCATACTGAAGCATGCAGCCGTGACCGTTGCTGTGATGGGGTCAGTTTTCGATTACACATGACAACGGGTTGTTGCGGTAAGAGCTGCTCGAGGCTGCAAAAGATTCTCGAAACACTTCTTGCCTGGAATTAACTCACGAGAGAACGAAGCGGTCGCGGTTCAACCATCCAGGGTTCTTGGGGTTGAATGTCATGAACTTGTTGAACAGGACGTGGGCAACCGGGGCCATGCCCATAGGGGCGCCCGGGTGACCAGAGTTCGCCTTCGCGGTGGCATCGACCTATATAGCAGTCATTGTTAGCGATTGGGCTTTACGGCTTCACAGCAGACATCATCGTGATGTTGGGAAAAGTTATGGCGTAGCGGGGTAGCTTCAGCGCCAGCGGATATGGAAGGGATGATGACTTACCGCGAGGGTTCGGATCGTATTGACGGCTCGGGTATCTACTTCTGAGTACGGCATGGTGTAGACTGTAGAATTCAATGGAGGAGGAGAGGAAGATCGTGGTGTTGAAGAAGCTTTCGATTCTTTAGAGGGGCTGCCGGACGACGCTAAAACGTGGGATGTTTGGCCGCCGCCACGCTTGCCTCATGGTTACGGCGGACTGTGGCCCACTTTTTCGTCATGGCCCGGTGGATGCAGCCCAGCAAAAGCTCATCGAGTTCACCACGTTATCAAAGCGTTGCCGCAGCTGTCCGCAGCTTGAATGAGCGGTCAATCCGGATGGTCTTCACGCTGTGCTGTGTGCATCATCGTCCTTTGACTGCCTGCAGGCGTCCCTGACTGAATCTTACTAACCTCTTGCCGTGCGCGTTCTGAGATTGGTCATCCGCCATGGCAGCTGCGATCAAACGCCGAAGCCGACCAGTCAACGCCGGTGGCATCTCGAGACGGACCAATTGACCATTCCTTTACACACATGATCCAGTCCATTAGACAGGCGCCGTACCAAAGGATTTGTTCGTACACGATACAATTATTCCGTCTATCATGCAACGGTGTCGGCGCCGCGGCCGAAACGGAGATGCATCGCTGGTTCAGCCTCATTGCGATAGGAGGCGGAGATGCCGGACATTTTGCCTGATCATTATCCGCGCCCTGTAAGATTTCCAACACAGGTCCGATGTGTCGGTAGGTATTGAGGGCCATCTGGCAAACATAACCCGTCGAGCAGCGGGATTGGGTCTTCCCTATAACTCAACACAAATCGTCAGCGCCAAGCCGGTACCATAAGACTTGGCATATTTAGATAGCTGTGTTGATCACCCTCACGAACCTCCGTCAAGGCCATCAGCATGCTACATAAATAGTAGAACACGTGCAACAAGAGGATCACTTTGTGTCTGTTGGATACCTATGAAATTGTCCGGGCACTATTTTAATGCTCAGGACACTGCCCAGGGCCCAGGGGCCAGTAGCCATTGCGGTCCTCAATTCTTCACGCACCAGACTGCGAGCCTTCCGATCTCATCGTCCAGCTTCAATGCGAAGCCCATCGTGACTCGTAAGAACAGCAGTCGCTGCTCCAAATAGCGCAGAACCTCGAGATCTGTGTTGACAAGCTGTGAGGCAGTCCGACCTAGTAGCTCTCCCCATGCGCGCTCCGACAGAACGAGCTTGCCGCTGCCAATTTGTCCGGTCTCATCGAGGACTGGGCCGAGCTGCAAGTGAATCATTAGTCGAGGAGCGTGTTGTCTGCAGTGAGGTTGGCCGCAAGCGAGACTCAGGAGATCGGAAAAGAAGAACTTGGTTACGTACGATTCTAGGATTGATCCTCAACCCGACTTCCTGGTCGCATTGCTTGCATGTAGTAGTGGTCGCATTCGAAAACACCGCAATACCACAGCACTCCGCGCTCAGTAGCATGTTACGCTTGTAAGGCATAACGAAGTTAAGCGATGTGATGATGCAGGAGACGTAACCCAGCAGTTCTTCACGTGGATTTGCACGTGCAAAACTGTCGATATCGGCGAAGTTGTAGAGCGCTCGCACAGGACTGTCTTCGTAGCACGATACATCAACTGCAGGAAAAGGAGGGTTGACGTGCTCTTTCTTTGTCAAGCGCTGAGCAAGTGTACGCAGACGTCGCGCGTCGCCAATGTCTGGATCGATATCGACGCGAGAATTGGCGTTGAGTGACAGTTTGGCGGTCTTCTCAATGCGCCAACCTGGGTTGGAGATCAGTAGGACAGTCTTGGAAGGTTGAAGAATGGAGGCCGAGTCGCAGAGCCCAGAATAGAGGGTCAGCGAAGCATCAGCTGTATCGTCAAAGATGCCGAGAGTGAGCAGCTCGGAGGTGGTGCCATTTCGATTGATATCTACATGGTCGAGTGTCAGCTGAAGAAAAGGGCGACAGGACTCAAAAGGATTGTCTAGGGCTGGTATGGAAGACCCTGAGGGACTCACAGCGCTTCCTGGCTCCAATACTCTTCACGCACACCAGTAGCTTCGGCTCGTCAACGTCATACCCGCCGTCCGTGAAGCTTCTCAGCGTCATTAGGCCAGGCAAAGCCCTAGAGTCTTTACAGTTGAAGGGTCGTTTGAACTGTGTGCCATCATCGCTATTCTCGTGTACCATGAGATGGCAGTTTCGTTCGCCCTCAGGAAAGATGGAGGTGTAGAGCGGTGCCGAATTTGGAGCAAGTGCATTGTGCTCTGAGCTGTTGGAGACGTGTACCGTCCAAACTGTGACAAGCTGACCCAGACGCAGCTTGTATTCTGCGTTCGCGTACCAGAGACGCACGGTCAGTACGCCGGTGTCATCAGCAAGCATAATCTTGATGTAGCCCTGTGCAGCTTTGTGACGCTTGCTCGGTCTACTAATATTCACCATGTTGACGACACGGCCCATTAGCGCAAGGTGGCGCGGGCCAGGTTCCAAAGAGCCAAGATCAGCCTCTTCGTAGTCCGTAGTGGGCTGCAGAGGATGGTCAGCACGAGTCAAGATCTAGATGCTATCACACACAGTCCAGGCATTGACTGTAGATACACCGCTTGGTTGCAACACTGATTGCACTTCTTCGGCGGTGAAGCCGTCACTATTCTTGGTCGGTGAGGACGTGAAGTAAGACTGAATGGACGACGATGTAGGCATGATGGGCGGAAGTGACGCGGCGTGGTGGTGATGTTGGCTATGACAGGTTGCGAGGTAGTGTTAAGTTGGAAGGAGCGCACCCGTCGGTCCTTCCCTATGCAGCAACCGCACCAAGTTGGTCAAAAACGAAAATAGCATTTCAAAACGAACGTAGAATGATAGGTAAAACAGAAAAGCATCATGGAAGAACGCAATATGGCACCATGCTGACCGAAGAGTCTTTATTGTTGACTTGATACATAAGGAGTGTGTAGAGTTGGACAAATCATGACTGAAACCAAATTAGTGCATCAACCAGACCGTGACTTCCTGGGCGCCCGCATCATTGACTGTCATAGGGCAGAAAATCAGAACAGCTTGTGCTCAAGATTCATGTCGTTCTCTGGCTCGAGACCGACGCAGGCGCGGAAGATGTTGGTGAGAGCAGCGCGCTGCTTGGCAAGAGCATTGACGACGGGAGTGCCAGAAGGTGTGAGAGGAGCCTTGAGCATGTAGCTGAGGATGCTGAGCACACTGTGGAAGCCAGCGTAGCCAGCGGCACTGCCACCGGCGCTGCGGGTCTTCCACTGGACACGGGTCATGATCTCAGTGACAAGCACCAAGTCAATGATCAGAGGCGAAGCGAGGAGGGAATCTTCACAGACGTTGAACAGACTGATGGTCTGGTGGCCGTCCAGGAAGATTTCCGCGTAGTACTCATCGAGAGCGCGCTTATCATCGCCCACAGCTGGCATATACTTGATGACAACGCAGTGGTCTGGGTGTTCACCGTCCTTGTACAGAACATTGTTGGCAGCAACCATATCATCGACAACGTTGGACTTGGATATCTCCTTGGAGCGAAATTGCTTCTGGGAGCTGAGGTTCATACCGTCGTTGTTGCCGAGATGGTTGTAACTCGCAATGGAGGTGAGCTTGATACCCGCGTTGATCATGAAGTCGACAAGGGCCGACTTCATCTTGGTCTGGCCAGACTTGAAGTCGTCACCACCGATGAAGGCGCCGTGCTTCTCCGCAAGCTGGACAGCACCAGGAACGAAAGTGTTCTGGGGAGATCCGTTGATGAAAGGAGCACCCTCGAGAATAGAGGCAACAGCGAAGACAGTGGAAGGAGAGACCTCTTCGTGACCAGTTTCGATAGCCTTCATGAGGTTGTCAGCGGTGTCGTTGACACCCTCCAGAATGTCGGCGTAACGCTCCGTGTTGGCAGTCCACTGTACAATGACCTTGTCAAGGCCATTCGTGGCCTTGAAGTCACTGTATGCATGTCAGTGTGATTGTGCATGGTAGGCATCAGGTAGCATACCGAATGTCCTTGCGAATCTGTTCAACGTGAGCCATGGAGGCCTTGCTGCCCTCCAGGATGTTGTCGGCACGGTCCTCTTGGTTGGCAGCAATGAAGTCGGGATAGTAGATACTGGGGAGAGGATTCATGGCAGCCATCTCCTTACGAACCAGCATCTTCAGTGAAGGCGAAAGTACCTTGGCACGGTCCATGGCGTCTGCCAAGTTCATGCCGCTGATGTCCCAGCCACCAATGATGAGATCGTTGGGATGGACCATCGGCAGAAGATCATGGAAAGGGATATGAATCTCCTTGCCAGTCTTGCTGTCCACGCCGAGCTTGGTCGTAGAGCTCATGATGACCGAACCATAGTAATTAGCAGCGCGCTTTCCCTGCTTCGTCTCCCAAACGAGGTTGCGCTTGTTGGCAATGATACCGGCAGTGACAGTGGTACCGTTGTTACCACCAAGTCCTACGAGTAGCAAACCGACTTTGGGAACCTTGCGGTCGACCTTGAAGTCATAGAGAGTCTCCTTGGGCACAGCGACATACTTGCCGTCCGCGTTCTGAGTAATGTCGGTAGTGCGGTAAGTGTACTTGGTCTTGATGGTGTCCTCGGTGTATTCGACATTCGGAGAGTTGACGACAAAGAGATCCTTGACTGGTGCCGTCTGTACATTGTACCCATCCGCATGGCCGACACGTTCTTCAGCGTGAGGTGCCATATTGTTCGTTTGAAGTGTTCTTATTGGCTTGTCTGCTCAACGAACTTATCTGCGGAAATCTAAATCCGACGCTGCCCCTGAAGGAGAAGTACGTCGGCCGGCGAATGGGTTGTGGACGCTGTGAGCTATCAGTGATACTGCAGCCTTCATGTTGAGCGCGGGGCACTTACGAGGAGAGAAGGTTGGAAAACGTCTTGGCGGTTAGGGCTCTCACAAGCCCAGTGACGGTTTATTAGGGATTGGAAAGGAAGGGTATTCTTGTTTGCGAGTCGATGTGGCAAAGGTTTTGTTGACTAGGTCGTTGTTGGTGAAGTGAGAGAAGTACCTTCTATATAGCCCCTCGTCCCTGTCTCTTATCGATAGGCAACAGGCTAACAACCCGCGTGCCGCCGGCCTTCGACGACGCCCACCGCTTCTTCGACAGCGTTCCACTTTTCAAGCCACTCCATGCCGTCGCAGCCCGTGACAGCTGCTCAAGAGGCCAATGGCGTTATGAGTTCTTCCGCATTCCTGCTCCGCGCTGCGCCCGCCATTACTCTCAGCAGCAGACCGAACCGCACTTGGGATGGTGAGCATGGAGCAAGCCTCGCCGAGGACATGACAACACGCCAGAGGATGGCAGTCGAGTACGCTTGACTGACAGCTATCACAACTCCTACGTGACAGTGGGGCATTGTTGTTGTCTACCAACTTGGAGCGAACTCTTCATCGTACCCCGCGTATACCTCCACTAATCGCGAGTCGCGACGAAGGAGCGGTGGACCTGTGCAAGTGGACCTAGTTGCATATCTCTCCACCAGTTCAAGATCAACTCTCAGCAGCTTTGAGTCATGTGAGACTTTTCACGCGGACTTTACGAAATATTGGAAGTGTCTGCAATAATCAGCCGGACCGACAAACTCCTGTCACACCTTTGAAGCTGACTAATTCAGCATCACTCCAAAGCACACGACATCTCATTTGTACCAGCGCGAGGCTAGTGTCTCTCTCGATGGCCGCCTGTTCGACGCCGTGCCGAGCCGCAAGTGATAGAACGGTGTACGAGCGCCAAGGGCATTCTGCGAGCAATCCCCCAGTCGAGTAATACGATGCAAGGCAGCAAGATATCCCGTAAGAGCAAATTACGGCTGTCTCCACGCCTATATGTAGCATCACGCTCCTGCCATCTGCATATCAGTACATAAGCTTAGCCACTGGTCCGTGCGACGGACGTTGTTTCCGAAACGATGAGGTCAGGGCCGGGTGGCATTCTTCAAACTGTTCGAAACTTGAGAGATGCAAGAAACGTCATGATTCCAAGGTTGTCGTCTCAGCAACCAAATCGGTGTGGAAGAATCTTTGTCAAGAAACTCGTTCTGTGTCGGCATCACATCCACACCAATAAGCCATTTGCCCAACAATTGCGCGCGAAGGATCCAATCAAGCAAGTGGCTTCATGTCCGACTTTATGGTTCTCCTGCGCATGGACACCTGGTGAACAAAGCCTCTACTCGGCTCTCCTGCATCACTTTACCGCTTCACCCGACGTTCTCAGACACCGCGTGAGTGCACCTCGTGTAAAGGTTGCACACAATCGGAAGAGAACTCAATATCGGCGCTTGCGACATCCTCGAGACAATTTCTACGGAGATTCGTTTCAGCGCCCATTTGACAGCTTCTGTGTTATGACTAGCCCGACGGTCAGGGACCACTCGATTCTGCAAGCTGCCGCTCCGTGCGCGCCTAGAGCTAGCCTGTCGAATCAATGAGCCGGCCGAGGAACGCCACGATTCAGGGACCGCGCGGGTTACGTGCAGGACATCAGAAGGGTCCCCGAAGTGCGCGCGTGTCTTTGGTCCTCGGGGCTCTTCACTTTGATTGCTCTTCCAACCCTATTGTGCGTCGCAGTCTCTGTGTGGTCGGCCTGTCCAAGTCTTCCTCCATCCTCGTATCAGTCCCCTGTTCACCACACCTGAACAGAACAAATCCAACATTGCGATTGTCCACTCTAGGGCTGACCAACCTCAAACGGGCTGGTACTGGTGTTACGCTAACCATTTCTCCGCTGCCGTCCTCGGATCAGAGCTAACCAGCACCGTTTCCGCAAAGCGTCTCCTGATTCAGCAGGACCCGCCGTGTTCGAGGATCAAACAGCCTGGAGGGTAGCCAGGGACCCTTCCCGGTGGTCGCATGTGCCTTCGAGACTCTGTCGTCCCTAACTTTCCCTTCCATCCATGCCACCACTGCAGAAACAACGCCAAACATCTCATCATCGAAGGTGAAAAGCAACAGCTTGCTTGCTAGAGCACGACCTACCGTCTGTCGCATTGGCCTTCTGGGCTGATCAGCCGCACATATGGGTCGACTGAGTGGATTGCCGATGATCAAATGTTCATCATGTGGGATTGACATCGACATCTTGCAGCTGGCTGATCACGTCTGTGCCAAACCTCCACCTTCAACAGCAACAGGTAAGGATGCGAAAGATGGGGGATGCCTACCTCAGGCTCACATAACTGATTATCCCTAGCCTCAACTGCACCACTCCCACCTGCAACCCAAGCTCAAGCTCAACCGCGAGCACCTACGCCAGAAATACCGTCGCCGAAGGTCGAACGCGCCACGACTTTTGGAGGCCCATCGTTCAGTACTAGATATGAGGCTCAATCGAACCCTGCCAATCGAATGCCGGCACCACCCAGGATAGACTCACAAGCTGCCAGTAAGACATACCCTTCTGTGCTTTCTCTCATAATTGCTCAGCGCCTCAGATAAACCCTTTCGACCCATGGAACTATCGCCGATGAGCAGCAACTATAGCGACCCACGAAGTCGTTCTCCGCTACCGTCTGGAGGTCCTAGGTCCCCGTACGCGCTGAATCGAAGTGCAACAAGCCCGGTACCACCGTCTGTTTCGCCACCCTCACCAAACTTTCACGCGAACATGGACTCTGCGTTCCCGAAATTTCCCACTAATCGAGCAGCTACACCGCGAAGCGAACGATCGCAAGACCGCGACAGGCTCGATGCCACCTACAATCAGCAATACCCTGAACCCAGTCCCCTATTCGCGCCTCTTAGTCCCTACCTAAACGGTGGCGAGAACGTCTCAAAACGCATGGACAGCATTGCACCAGGCCCCTTCGACGGCCGACGGCCGAGCACAGCCAACAGTGCGCCTAGATCGCATTCACAGGAGCCAGCATTTGGGCACCGTAGGTCAGAGACACAAGGAAGCATCAGGAGCGTTGAGAGTAGGCCGAAGTCAAGAACATCGCTGGCATCAAGCACATCACGGGCTTCGGCTTATTCGAACCGCAGTGCTGGAAGCCGGGACCATGCTGGAGCGATGCCCCCTCCACCATTACCAGCTTCTGCTGATGAGAGTGAAGGCATTGACGCCTTCCTCGGGCGTCTTCAGAACGAGGCTCGACGCCCTGCACAGTTGACGCATGAGGACAGGTCGAAGACATATCCGCTCGCGAGTCAGGAGAGGCGAGGGCCGCCGCCACGACCAAGAAGACCTTCTGAGAAAGACTTGCCTCCAGCGAACATTGCCGAGTACAAGACTTCGGACTTCGCACCACGATCAAACAATATGTTACCTTCACGTACCCCAAGTCGGGCAGCATCAGAAACAGATTCGCAGAGAGACCCCGGGCCTGCACGGTCGTTGCAACCACCTCCCTCAGTCACCACAAACTACTACATCGAGACACCATCTGGCGCTCTACACACCCCGTCTGACTCGGGCCTGTCGGATGATTCTTACGCTAGCTACACTACAAGAAGCAACGCCAGCTCTCGTTCGAGTCCGCCCAGCTCTGAGGCTGGTCATTCGCGCGATGTATCGAAGGTCAGCCGCTCAGATTATCCTGCTGAGGAAAGACTCCAAAGAACTGCCAGTCCTGATTCTTACGCCGAAGCAAGAGCTCCTCCATCTCAAGCGCAACGACGAGTACCTGCGAGCTACACACGCCCGAACCTCGCTGAACCGATTCCACAAATCTTGTCTCCAGGCTTCCCAAGCCCTAGTGTACCAGAATCCCCAATGGACCCCGCCATTCAGCTAGGCGCATCGTTCGAAAGACGCCCGAAAGATTCGTTTGCACCACAAGATCCTGCTTTAAACCTTGCTCAGAGCCCCCGAACGCGTCGACCAGAGTCTAGACCACGACAGGCAGAAACACGCCGACCAGCGCCAGCAAGCAAAGGCAATTGTCGCGGCTGTTCTGAGCTCATCGTCGGAAAATCCGTCAAAGATTCTTCGGGCCGCCTCGGTGGGCGCTACCACAGGTCTTGTTTCGTTTGCCGAACATGTGGCGACGGCTTCCCAACCGCTGAGTTCTACGTCTACGACAATGCGCCGTATTGTGAGCATCACTACCACGATCTTAACGGGTCGCTTTGCAACACCTGCAATCGCGGTATTGAAGGGCAATATCTGCAGACAGACAGACGAGAGAAGTTCCATCCCAGATGCTTCACATGTTCTACATGCAGGATCCCATTGAGCGCCGACTATTATGAAGTGGGCGGACATAAGCTTTGCGAGCGACACGGTCAACAAGCTGCAGCTCCACGCCAGAACTATCTTGGACCTGGCGACTACCGTCCGCGCAATGTGCAGAAACGCCGAACGAGACTCATGATGATGTGAGCATCTAAAAGCTCACCGATTTCATTCCCTTTCTGTTTGTTCAACTAATAATTCCTTTGTTGTCATATCAGCGTCCCAGTTCGCTGCGTTGCCATGAGCATTCCCTTTGGATCATTTTCATTCTGATACCCGGCTAGTCCGCCTCCGTTTACAGCATCTTCTGTCTTCCGTTCGTTTTCATGTTGTCTGTTCGTTGATTGATTTTCAGCGCTTCGACGCTTGCTTTCCATTGAGTGGCCTCTTCTCAGGCATTTCGGTTGTGGAAGTATCCGGCTATACCCCTTCTTGATGACCACGATTTGTTCCATTCTTGGTTCGCATCTACATATTTAACTCTATGAGTTCCGACATGACGTCTGAACAAACATGTAACAACACAAAAATATCTAATACCACGCCCTGCATCAGGCAAAGCTCAAGAACATATTATGAACGATCTCTACCTCTACTGTGCTATCCGCTGTTGCTACACATCGAACTGCGTTTGGCGACATGTACCGACTGACGGTCTATTTTTCTCATGCGGCACAACTGGGGTGCAATTACTGTCATCGAGAATCACACATCGTGCACCTCGAAGACCATTGGTCAATTGCACTCGTTTGCAAATCACAATCTCACTTTTTATTGCCGCATCTTCCTCACAAAGCACCTCTACAGCAGCAATCGCGCCTGCTGACAGCAAACAGCAGAGGAAATATCCCCACCTCATTGATGGCTGCACAGGGCACTGCTCGACCTTCACAGATTGCGGGTTGTGGTAACATTGAAGCAGAGCATGTATACATGCAGCAGCTCTGACGTTGAGCATCTCCATCATACCAGCAGTAGCACCTTCTCACGAAGCCGCCAACAGCATCCTTTGGAAACCGCCACTCTACCGATCTTCTTACTTTCGCAGTCAGAGATAGACTTCAACGCTTACAGGTTGCATTTCGACATGTCCACTTCAGTCCAAGTTTCGGCCACTCATCTCTCGAAGGATGATCCGCCATCACCTGTACGCACATTTAGCAGTCGACTGGATTACAGCTAACACGATAGACAGACAAAGCCACCATCAAACACCCCAGAGCCCAATGATGTCCTGCGCCATCCTTCTCCAGCACCCGTAGGCCATCATTGATACTGAGCGAGTACGCTGGAAGCTAACATTGTTTTACAAGACTCCACCACCACCCTCTCTCAAGATAAAGCCAAATGACCTCCACGAGGCTGTTAACATGCTCCTCGACTTCATCCACGTGACGCTTGGAACTGACGCTCTACCACCTAACCCGCCCCCTTCACCGAAGGCAAAGCCCGACGAGCTTGTCAAAGCCATCGACCTGTTGCTCAAAGTCATCCGCTTCGAGCTTGACCGTGGAGACGCACCTCCAAACGTACCGTCATCTCCCAAGTCCAGGCCTGACGATGCTATCGAGGTGGATGAGCCGATGCGTATTGACCCTGTCCTATCGTCCATTTCTGTGCTGCCCAATCAGTTGGGACGTGGAGAGAAGCCACCTCCAAACCCACCACCATCTCCTAAGGCCAGACCTGAAGAGCGTGAGCGTTCTCTCCACCATAGCGACACCCTGCCTCCTCCGCCTCCGCCTCCCAAGGCTAGGCAGGTGGAGGGCTCGGCTTCTGATACACCTCCCTCTTCGCCTTCTGGTAAGCAACCTTCCCTTCGACTGATGCCTTATACTAACAAGATGACAGAGCCCCGAATCTCACCGCTGACCCCTTCTCCCTATGATGGCGTCGTGCTCAAGCTTGGTCGAGGGGAGAAGCCGCCACCTAACCCTCCACCTTCGCCGAAGGGAAAGCCTGAGGAGAGTTCGGGAGCTCATACATCTCCATCTTCGCCACCCAGTACGTATTCCCAAGCACTAAAATGATCCTTACTCAATACCGACGTGCGACAGAGCCACTGAGCCCTCCTCTGGCACCCTCACCAGACAACTAAGATGTTGTGCTTGATCTTCGATAGGGCGGTGATATATTTGAGACTTGGTTACCATGACGCGTAACCTGAAGGATTGTGGACGTGCCTGGTGCTTTGAAGTCCTTACTTTTGCCGATACTCGACTGTATCGTGTATGTAGTCGATCGAGATCAATGGAACGAAACCGTTTACCTTTGTGCCCTTCTGCCAGCTCACCTCACGAGTTTGGCACAGTACCGATATAGAACAGATCGTGATCCCACCGAGGCAGTCGATCAACTTGATGGAGATCGACCATGGTTTGCAGACCGCCTAGGAAAGCAAAACAGGTTGACCACGTCCTTCTTGCTCAGAGCTCGGCTTTAAATTCGGAACCCTGCAGCAGGGATTGTTTTGCGGAAATTGCGGGAGGTAGTCAGCTCTGGTAAATGACGATCCTATCACTTAGCAGAGATTCTTCTTGATATGGTCATGCTGGTAGTAGAGACTTTCTAGGCTTATTAACACTCGCCTTCGAGTTATCCAGGTCAGACCTAAGACGGAAATTGAGTCACGCTATATCTAATTGCATTTTGCGGCGATGCCACTTATGTGAAGACTTGACAGCAGTGAGCTGCGGAAACTTGAACTAAAGGTCGAAGGTCAATACCGCAATGATACAACAGCGGGTGCTGACTAACTGCAGATGACGGAGTGCTCACCAGCTCGACGCAGCTCGCCGCTTCCGGGTTATCAGCTGCTGCTAGATCATAACACGGGCGACGGCAATGTGGAAGTGAAGGGTGGATGACTCATGAGAGGGAGCTGGCCGAGCGGTGGCTTTCTTGCTCTCGAGTCAAGCAGGTCCTCGTGACTCGTGAGTGAGCCTCACCATCACTGTCTGCTGGCAGCAGGCGGCGCATATAGGCAACGGTTGAGAGGATGTCTTACAGGAAGCGTGTAGAATATAGGGCGGACCACACCGTAACGGGTCCTCGCTCATACTGTGGTCGTATTGTCCTCGGTCAATGCCGTCAACTGATCAATACCCAGCGCCGTGAAGTCGTCAAGCGCATGATCTCTAACCCAGACTCCCACCACGCCCTCTTTCTTCCTCCACCCCGCTCCCCTATGGTTCAACAGCTCCACTATCTCCTCGACATCCCTTGTCAGCGTTTCACTGGTACAGTCTCTACTCCTGAACTCGGCACTATCCTCAAAATCAAACACTCCCAAATAGCTCGCAATCGCCTTGTAGCTCTCAGTCCATTCGAGCCAGAAGTCGCCCGATTGAGCTCGACCCATGCGGTCCGGCTGGCTGAGCAGATTGTTCTCGGGACCAGGGGCAAGTTGGAACGTGACGTTGCGCAACGTGGGGACGCGGTGGAGGGCGCGGATGATGCTCTTGACGTTTGTCGCGAAGGGGAAGATGCCCGTGAAGCTGAACGACGTGATGTTGGAGCACGACTCGACTTTTTTAGCGAGGTGCATGAGAATCAGGTACATCATCTTAGGCGATTGCTTAAGGTGGTACTCGTAGGTGCTGTATGCGGTGATGGAGGAGCCTTCGTTGTAGCCAATGTGCGTCCAGGGACGGCGGTGGATTAACATAGTATTCCAGGGTCGACAGCTGGATCTCATGTGGTCTATAGGCGGCGTTAATGTGTGGACGAGCTCGATATAATGGATTTTCATGTCGAACGCCCATGTGTCTGAGCTTAGCATTTGGGTGTCCAGGAGGCCAGCGAGTGTTGCTGGAGGAGCAGCCACGACGACGCGGCTTGGCTCAAGGCAACTGAATATATGCGTCCATATCTCGTTGACTGCTCGAGCTAGAGGTGCATCGGCGGTGGAGACGTGGCGCAACTCGTACTCTATATCTGTGTGCACCACGACGCTCTTGATGTGCTGCTTGAGCTGGTACTTCGATACAAAACGGCCAAGTTGTGTGAAGCTACCGCTAAGATGGGGAAACCACAGTATTGTCGGCGACGACTTTAGGAACTCATCGCCCTCCTGTATCCTACACAGGTTGATGAGGATGTCGTCAAAGGATTGGTCGAACGCAAAGGCAGAGCTGCTCTTGAACTTGCTGCGCATCTTGGTGTATATCATGAACTCATGATTGCTTAAAGTAGAAAGCTGCCCTTGCATGCTTTCGATAAGTCGAGCGTCTAGTGGTACCCATTGTGGATTCTGGTCCAGCGGCACCCTGACATATTTGAACAAGATTGGGATGACGATTCTTCGTAAGCGCCAGGATACGCAGGACAAGTTTTTTAAAGGATTGTCTTGAGAGCTGGTTAGCTCCGTTGTGGGCTCGTGGGCGAACTTGGAGACCGAGGGCGCCTTTACATCAAGATGTGAAGCGATCTGGATGAGGAGTTCATTGGGCAGCGCATAGAGGCTGTTGGCTTGGACTTCGGCCATTTTTAATGGTGATGAGGACTATGATAGAAGAGTAATTAGGTATAGCTTGGCATCTCCCATGTAAGGATATCCTGAGGTTGCGGTCGTGATTGTAAGGGCGGAGCTGGTGGTGAAGCTATGAGGTTTGAGCTGTGTACGTCATCCTCTAGCTGATCAATCACGCTCAAACATTTGGTCACAGCAAGACTGCACATATTGTATCAGGAGAACATCGTAAATGCGCACAGGGTTAAAATGTATTGTTTGAGTCTAGAACCCGGCGCGCACAGCACCCTCTAACCACGCAACACCCGCCATCACGCCATCCACAATTCTCACTCTCTGTCCATCTTCCTGTCCCAACTCCTCAATGCACGCCTCCCTAACCATCTGGTCCATACCAGCCATGCCCGCACAGCCGAGACATATCGCACCCACCTTGCCCCTCCTTAGTAGCCGCTTAACAGCATCCTTCATCTTCTGCCTGACCTCCTCAGCCGGTGCATCGTGCAAGTCCGTTGCATTAAGACCCGTAGTCTCAACGCCGGCGAACCGCTTCCCTGCATCAGAGCTCGTGCCCAAGAACTGCACTGTGGCCTCTGTGAGGATATCCTCCCAGACCTTGCCTGTGCTCACGATGCCAAATTTCTCCTCTGGATGTATCGACTGCATACTGGTGCCCACGCTTGCCTCGAAGATGCCAGTGACGGGCTTGCGCGTAGCCTTTACTGCGGGCTCTTCTTTCAGCAGAGGTACGAGAGGGTGCTGCGAGTAGCATGCGACGAGGAAGGCATCGTAGCGGTCGAGCAGCGGTCGCAGGGTGGGTAGGCAGTGCTTGACTGACTCGCGCGCATCGTCTTCGTCATTGATGCTCTTGACGCCATCCGGTGCGGTGAAGTAGTCATGTGTTGTCTAGCTGCGGTCAGTTGCTGGGATGGAGCTGTGAGTGGTGCGATTGACATCTTTGAACTGCAGCGCATCGACCAGCGGTCTCAAGCCGTCGGTCATCGACACCGTCGAGTTCGGGTTGATGATGAGAATGGAGCGCATCTTGCGGTATCTAGGATTGCATCCTTGACGGAATTCGCCCATGGAGCTCACTCGAAGCTGTGCTGTTCACCACGACGCTACCCCGCGGATTTGAGCTTTCGCGCGTGGCTCGGAGAAATTGTGGAGGCATTTACGCGACACCTGTGACATCATAGCCTCACGCGTATGTCAGCGCCGACGGCAAGTTTCAACGTCTATTTGATAGCAAAGTTAGAAAACACGAAGTGGAAATGCCTCCGTGGGACGTATATACGACTGTGTTGCGGCAAGTTGACAAGTGATGCAGTGGCTTAACACCTTAACGATGTTGTTAATGACTTATGTTAAACTACAGAGGATGTATGATGTTTGATGTGGAGGATGTCTCCGTGAAGGCGAGAAAATCCTCAACGATATTATCAAAAGCGGCTGCTATGGCCTGATCAAACTATTCGTGTAAACAGATCCACCAATGATCGTCCCGGTGACATCAACTGTATCCCAGGCTATTACTCTCGCGGGTGGCATTATCGCAATACAAAGGGCTTAGGGACTAGACTCGTAAGAGGAAATCACCTCAATAGGAGAGTAGCAGAAACATACAGGTCGTAACGTCGTCGATGGGTCTGCATTGCCTAGCGGAAACAGGAGAAGCGGCCGCAAGAGATCCTGAAGGGAGCGCGGCGGACACCATGCCTGTCAGCAACAACACCACCGCCTGAATAGATGTTAGTTGCCGAGTTATCCAGGCGAGCAATCAAGAGGAGACTAACCGCCGTGCTTTCCGCCCCATTGCTTAGTCCAGAAAAGACCCATGGTTATCGATTATTGATCGCTGATTGCTGATGAAGTTTTGCAGGAGCTATAGAAGCTCAGGATTGTGCTTGTAGAGGACGTATTTGCTTGTGAGGTAGATAAGGAGCGATCCACATGCGTTTTGTAGGGAGTCGTTGCGGGAGGCTTAAGCAAAGCAAGGTAAACAAGCTGGCTGTGACTGAAGCCAGTGACGTAGGCCAATTCGGGATAGGCTTGGCCAATGACCTCGACGACCTCTTTCTTGAAAAGTTCCCGCCCTGCACAGCCACAGCTTGCGTGCAGTTTAGTCAAATCTGTGAATCTAGGGCTGCAGCTTCACCCATTATAGCTTTGAGATGCTCCCTAAAACGGTAACCTGACGATGAGGCGGAGTGGTGCGCCACAACACTGCGGGATGATCTCTTCGATCCTGCACGTTAGAACGACCGAACTAGCAGATCTCAAGGCACGATTGCGACATTCCGAGGCTGTGTGGCAAAGCGATGGAGTACCTAGTCGGCTTTTGTTATGTCTTGGTCAAACACAGGGTCAGGCGCAGGGTCGTTTAAGATGAGCAGATTACTTCGTAGCACACAAGTCTCGTGGAGATATGAGAGCAGAAGACGCCTTTAGGAGATACTGCTTGGCAAGAGCCAAGATGTGAGCCGGCGTATTCGCTTCAGCCTGTCAGCTTCTGTGCTCACGGCACAAGCCGCCATTCATAAGAACGAACGCTCATATAACAGCACGTGGCCACGGCTGTGTATCGGACTGCAAACTCGTAGAACTGCCGTGTGACTAACCCCCAGATCTACTCGTGAGAAGACAGTGATGCTTGTGTCGAAGTTCACAATTGCGATGATTGTAAAAGGCTTTCAGATTCGTTATACAAAACATGCTCGTTGGTAAGAGGAATTGTGTGCGCCCAGATCAACCCAGATCCTGCCCTGTATTGTACAGATGTCGTGCAGCAAAGCGGCTCAGCGCTACGAAACCCGAGGCCTCGCTACATTCAGAGGCGTTCCCAAGCTTCTCTCGATCCCGTTCCACCTAATGTACATTGCTGCCGTTGCTCACAGCGTTTACCGGCCGGGCAAACCGCCTTGTGCCATAGCGGCGTTCTGCTCCTGGAACCTGTCGCCGAGGCGCTGCGAGCCCTTCATGTGCTTATCGACGCATCGCATAACGCAGCCTTCTTCGCGCGAGGTCAGGGACTTGCTCTCGAAGCCGTTGACGCAGGAGTCGAAGCATTGCTGGACGAGGTTGGAGTACATCTGAGCCCGTTAGTCTTGACCCACGGCAGATGTGTCCATCAATTCCAATGGCAATGTAGTCAAACAGCTACATACGTTCATGAACTCCTTCATCTGCTTCTTCTCCATGCGGTTCTGGAGCTCGCGCTGCTCGTTCTGTGTGAGTCTGCGGAGTTAGCTTCTGATGCAACAGCGCTTGCTGATATTGGGCGCGTACTGATCCATCTTGAGGGTAGGTGTATGTGACTTTGGTAGGTGAGATGCCACTTGTATATATGCAGAGCTTTCGTGGTTGATGGTATGACGTGCGGTGCAACAGCTTCCCCAGCGAACTATTTTCTGAACGCTGCGCTCAGACCACGGGGCTGCACCTGCGAGCAGTCCGCAGGAGCAGCAACCCGAAGGAGCGCCTGGAGACTCTCAGTTGGATCTAGACCACAGGCTTCAACCTGCTTGCCGCTCCCATGGATCGTTGCACAGCGGGTCAATATCTTCTCATTTCCGGCGACGCGCTTGTACCTGTACCTGTTCAGCGCCAAGGGCAAGCCATATTATTGGGCCGAGTAATATTGAATGAGCAGCGACGACAGCGCAATAACGGCTCTCTTGATCCCATCTCGCTGCTGCGTCTGCTATTGATCGCCCGCACACCACGCTGCGACAGGTCTTAGAGCACACGCCGCGCGCTGTGTTTGCATGTCAGACGACCGCGGGTGCCGTCTTCCTTGGATTTGAATCATTCAGCCACACCAGAGGAGCCCTCGCCAAGTGCCAGTCCAACACCCCCAGCGCGCAGCACCCACTGCTGCGATAATTGCCCTCTGCAGTACCCGCCCTGCCCCCTTGACGTCGCCGCCGCCGTCGCCGCCAGCTCCCAGGCGCAGACCGTCGCCCTCTTGGTCGCCCGCATGCTGCCTGAACCCGTGGACTGTCGCAACGAACCCTAACCGCGCTCCCACGCCCGTAGTGTACCGTACCAGCTCCAGCTCCAGCTCCGCCGGTTGCACGCCCACCCACGCGCCGCACAGCTGGCAACGTCGCTCTGCTCACTCACCGCGCCGCCGACCGCCGACCTCCTGCAGCGTCACGGTGAGCCCCGCAGGTCTGCCATTCTTCCGCTCGCTACGCTGCGACGTCACAGAGCGGCCCCGTCCTGCCGCCTGCAAGCCCACTGCGGGCCCACCCTGAGCTGCTGAGACTCCCCAGCACACAGCGACCGTCTACAGCCCGCGATATTCTGCGCATAGAGAGCTGCGACGCTCTGCAGCCCGCCTGCCATGCCTGCTGCGACGCAGCACCACCCCACCACGCCGCGCGTGCGCAACGGCGAGCCCCAGCCCGCGCCAGTCCCTGCGACCGAACCCGTGTCCGCGAGGCGTGACCTGACCTCGTGGTGGAAGACCTTCAGCAAACGCGCAGTGAAGAAGGAGGAAGAACAGAAAGGTAAAGCGCCTTTCCGTGTCCAACCCCCGCTGCTCGAGCGCAGAGCTGCGCCGTCGGCAGCTGTGCCTCTACAGGCGTACCTGACCAGGCTGAGTCTCTGCTCGGGCGCGCTTGCGGCGTCTCCACTCCGTCCTGCTGAACGCAGTCACTGACGTTCTTCTAGCAGAAGCAGCATCGCAGGGCATATTCGGAGTACCCCTCATCCAAAGCATACCCTACGCAAATGTGGCGATATCGTTGTTCAACGAGCACGGCGAGAGCTACATCTATGGCTACGTCCCAATCGTGGTCGCCAAGTGCGGCGTATTCCTGAAAGAGAAAGGTCAGCATGCATTCTCCAAACCGTTTCCAGCAGCTAACAAGCCGAAGCAACCGACGTAGAGGGTATTTTCCGATTAGCAGGCTCAGAGAAGAGGATCAAGGAACTCAAGATTGCTTTCGACACTCCACCACGATATGGCAAGGGTCTGGACTGGACAGGCTATACAGTGCACGATGCCGCCAACATTCTGCGCAGGTACTTCAACCATCTGCCAGAACCTATCATTCCTCTAGGCAACTACGACAGCTTCAGACAGCCACTGCGAAATCACCAAGCAGAAGCTGTTGGCGCGATTGAAGGCCAGGCGCCCTCAATCGGAGGCTTTGACGCGGACGCTGCTGTACGCAACTACCAGCATTCCATCAAAAGCCTACCCTCCTTGAATCGCCAATTGCTCCTCTACATCCTGGATCTGCTAGCCGTCTTCGCTGCCAAGGCCGACGTCAATAAGATGACAACATCCAATCTGGCAGCCATCTTCCAGCCTGGTATTATTTCTCATCCTCAGCACGATATGTCGCCTCAGGACTACAGGCTAAACCAGGATGTGCTCATATTCCTCATTGATAACCAAGACCATTTCTTGATTGGTATGGAAGGCACAGCCGTCGACGAAGGTACTGTCAAGCAGATCGAGAGCGGGCCCAACACACCACAAGTACGGACACCAACCACTCCAGGGCGAAACAACTCGGGCATTAACCGCTCGGCTTCTACGTCATCGAGTGCGGGTGCCGAAAGCTTACGAATGTACGGTGGTGTCCGTAGGAACGTCTCGACCTCATCCAGACGTTCACGTCATTCCGGAGCTATTCCTAGTCCTATCACTCCAGGCTTTGTTACACCACCCAATTCTGGTGTACATAGGAGCAACACCTTGCCGACAAAACGATCCCCCGCCCTCAACAGCCCTCGTTTTGCAACGAAGCCTTCAGGACCATCAGCACCTGCAGCAGAGGAGGACAAGGCATTGTCTCCAAACACTATCGAACCTGCAGCCACGAACATTCCCCAGCAGGAGAAGCCAGTCAGTGCAGCAGCGGTATCGGAGGCCCTTCAACCTATTTCAAGCCACCCAGATAAGCCCCCTCGGGCAGCTCCTGTACCAGAGGAAGCGGTCCCAAAACGCGCCATGACACTGCCTCCTGGCAAGATTGAGCTTCCCAAACCTACTTTCGCACAGGGAACACAACAGCCGAGACCTTTGGCCGACACACCTGCACTTGACTCGATTCCAGGAGCATTCCCACCATCAACGCCCGGGGTGCAATCGTCGAGCGAGGTCAGCACACCTCTTGCTTCTGTGCCCACTCCCATGCCTGCCTCCGTTCAGGCTGCGAATGTACTGCACCCTCCCCCAGTTCAAGGATCGGGCCGTCGTAGCCCTCACACAACTCCAACTCGCGAACGGTCGGAGTTCCTCGAAGCACCTGTCGACTCTGGTCCATCTGTCGAGCCTACCCCAGCTGTACGTACGTTTACACAGATACTTGCAAAGGTTCCTCAGTCCGCGTCCGACTTGAAAGATGGAAAAGACAAAGACGGTCGCAAGCCGAACAAGTTACAAAAAAAGAGGCTCCCTTCCGGCCAGATCCCCAGCGCCCACAGCTCGACCACTTCATTGACCGGTCAGCTCGCTAGTCTCGATGCCACGATTGCGCCTGCGCCCGCATCACCATTATTTCCACCGCAAGCTCCCTTTGCGTCGCAATCACACGCTAGTGGTTCCAGGGAGGCGCTGCCGCCGTCGAGCATGGAGACGTTTTCATCCCGCAACTCCGGCAATACGCTAAAGCCTAGCATGTCTCCGTCAGCTTCATTCAGATCTCATTCGACAGCGACCGAGTACTCGGAAGCCGAATTGAACGATGAGCCTCCTGCTGTAAAGGAAGAGAGGGAAAAGGAAAAGGAAAAGGAAAAGGAAAGGCGAAGCTTCTGGAAAGGTCACAAGCGCAATGAAAGTAGGGCAACACCTACCGCGAGTCAGACTGATTTGCATGGCTCAGTACCCGGCGGCGATAAGAGCATGAGCTCTTTCGGCAGCAGTTCGGGTTGGGCCACAGGTGGGCGTCGAAGCGGCCAATTCGATTCCAACCAGACACCAGAGTCATCTATGATATTCGGCAGCCCGCCCGACGGCGATCGTGGATCGGACAAGAAGGGCACGTTCGATTGGTTCCACAAGATGAGACAAGAGCATCGAGAGCGTGCCGATAAGAGGGACCGTGCTAAAAGTCCTCCTGGCAGCATTAGTAACCCGCCACTGCCTCAAAATCTGACAAGACCTCGCGACAATCTCCCGAACAGAGACTGGTCTGCGGACGCTCCGCGTTCTTTGAGTGAGGTATCCAACGATGTAACGCCCATTGGGATCAGCCCGGCTGCGCAGACTACCTCGTCAACACCCGAGACAAGGCAGCAATCGTCAATCGTGGCACAGCAGACTGTGGGAAACACTGTTGGCCCCCCAACTGCTACTGCGAACCCTGTTCCGGCGGTCATTCCTGAAGAACCAGTTGCGCCAACGTTGAAGCATGAGGATTCTTCGACGACGATACAGCCAGCAACCCAGCTGACGACTCAGCCTTCAACAGGGCCTTCATCGCCGCCGATACAACAGCCCGCGCCCTTCACTCCGATCAGCCAGGTACTGCAGTCATCTGAACAGGAACCCAGGACCCCTACGGCTACCAATCATCCCGTTTTCCACGTACCATCACCGGCTATCGCTGAAATCTTGGCTGCGCCAGCGAGGAGTTTCAATCGATCTCCCGAGCGTGCGATCCCATCACCTTCGAGGTCCCCACCTCCTAATTCGACCCATTGAGGTCTTCATTGACATCCGCGTACAGTACAGCATCGTGCGCTGCTACAGCGCTATGATATGTGGAGTTTGGTTCGGGTTCACTTCTGGATACCATTGTTGCAAGACGACGGCTGCTTGGATGTGCCAAGGAAGATAGTGAGGGCGTTTGATATGGCCAGACTACTCCGAGCCAGTGCGGATGGAATCGCGTCGCGTGTTGTAGAGAGCGACGAGCGAAAATAATCTGGCGCGCACGTCTCCGATGATGTACAGCGAGACGGCAGCAGTAATAATAATCTCTTTGATCTGTCGAACGAGCGATATACACGCACGTGCATGTACATGTGAGTATCTCGACATTTGGCCCGAACACGTGCATACGTTCATGGCTAGACCTCAGCTTAGACGTCTTGGGCCTCACTTTTTCGACTTACGATGCTATCACACGTCTGTCATTCACATAGCTTGTCGATTGGATGCAGCAGCCTGCTTCGGCGCAAACAACGCACAGTAAGCACTACTCCTCAGCAGCCGAGCTCTACTACTGTACCGCTCTGCTTCCGCTTCTCCGCACTCTAGAACTCCAGCCGTTCGCTTCGCAAGCACATGTCCTGCTGTGGTAACGAAACGACACATTGCCGAATCTCCACGGCAGCTCCAATACTCGGTTATCGTGGGCTTGCATACACCGTTAGGTTCAACACGGCTGCACGATGCAATTGATCACCACACTGTCAGCGTAACTTTCGGCGCTCTCTGAAGAGTAGGAAGTGTTGAGTGACCGATCATGATACTCGTTATGGATAATGTGCCGCCTCTCCCGTCGCTGACAGACGGCGTCGTGGCGACTTAGTCTCGCGCTGCGGACGCAGCGGCCTAGTGTCTTGGGGTGGCCTTGCAGCGGCCGTCCACCCAGTCAGAATCCTCGCAACGGCGAGCTAAGATGTGGTCTGCCGTCGAGTCTATTTTCTCAATGGCGCGATTTGCTCTTTGTCACTGTGGCTCGCGTCGTTGGAGCCGACTCACTGCATTTACTGTTCGCTGGCTCGCTAGCTCGCTGATGTGCTCCGGGAGGCTATTTTTGGGCGGCGCAGGGCCGTATTGAAGGCCTGGCGAGAACGCGAGAACGCGAGAACGCGAGAATTGCGACGACGGAATTTACATCCGGTCCTAGTGCGCACGAGAGAATGTGCTGAAGGATCGTGAGATTGTGCTCGTGCAACAGCCTCGGCATAGGGGGTGCTGTGTCGTATTGCTGGCAGGGCTTCTGGAGGAAGGCACGATTTGGAGTGTAGAGTTAAGCATCAACGTCGTTATCTAGCTCCGGTAGGTTTTGAGCGAGCGTTCGTGGCTCAACAACTGCTGGGCGATGGCGCCGCACGCCAGACGAGCAGTGCCGGGCCAGTGAGCACGCTCCACACATGACGTTCCGAAACAAGGGTGTGGTGATGAGCGTACAGGTCCGTGACGACCTGCTGGAGACTTTGGACAGGCTCAGGCTGTAGACGAGTGCCTCACGAGATTACGCCGGTAGTGCTCTGCGTTGAGGTACTTGGTACATGCAAAGAGTTGTAGGCCCAGCAGGTGAACTCCAAGCAGGGTACTGTGAGGAGGCTCAAACCCGCCTGCGCCAATAATGATCGTCATGGCGGAGTCTCACAGCAAGCTAAAGCTAAAGCCAGAGGTCTGAGCGTTCAGCGCTGGACTCGTATCGCCTTGAGTCGCATGTATCAAAAGCCTTGGGGTGGCGCCGTCTGCTTGGGCGACTCCCTTCCTTGCCAGCGATCCGATCTCTCTCCTCTTGGAATTCTACTGCTGTTTTCGTTCGACACACCATACACTCGCTTGTGTTAACGTACTGTCGCTCTGATCAACAAGGAGGATTGTTGCTAGTCGCCCGTCAAAGAACCGATAGATTGCGCGTGGCGTTACCAGCGGCCCGGATCCTGCGAGACTTGTGTAAGCGTTCCGTCCTCACTTGATAGCACCCCAGCCGCCTACTACAAGGCCATGACAGCTGCCTATAGTAGCAATATGTCCTTGTGCCTGCTGCACATATGGCTGCGGACTCGCTCTCGCCCATGACGCCGTGCTAACAGCAATGTCAGTCTTCTAAAGGCTTGTCGTCACCCTCGCGTCTGTCATCAAGGCTTCACCATGCGTTCCTTCCTCCGGTACACAATGCTGGCGCTGCCCCTGCTGGGCGGCGTCGTTGCTGAGCAGCCATCGACGCAAATGTCGGACCTGTCCAACTCGATCTACGCCAATGCGCAGGAAGCGTTCCAGGACCTGCTCAATGCCTTACCCGAGGAGTCGCTGCAGGCCGCACTCAACTCGCTCACCAAGTTCAAGGCCGGCGTCTTCGAGTCGCACCGCCGCGGCGTCGAACACGTGCACAGCAGCAGCCCGGCACTCGCCACCAAGCTCATCGTCGCCGCCGTGCAGGACCTGAAGAAGCGCCAGGCGCCCGCACCGTCCAACGGCACCACGCCCGCACCGTCCAGCCAGGCGCCCGCCCAGCCGTCGTCCAGCGCCCAGCCGTCGCTCCAGCAGGAGCCCACTTCGAGCCAGGCGCCCGCAGCGAGCACCCGGCAGCAGACCAGCGCAGCAGTACCCGCGTCCACGGCGGCGAGCACGCCGTCCAGCCGGCCCGTCGTCGTCGCCGTCGACGTCACCACCACCAACAGCGTCGGCAGCACCGTGATCCAGACGTCGGAGGTCCTGTCCGAAGTCACCGCCAGCGTCGAGGTAACCGTCGTGCGCACGACGACCAACAGCGTCGGCAGCACCGTCGCCGTCACTACGCAGGAAGTGCGCCCGGCCGTGATCAGGACCACGACCGACTCACGGGGATCCTCTGTCGTCGTTACCTCGGCGGGCAACCTGGCGCCCACACGCGGCGAGGTGCTGACGACGACGGACGCGGCGGGCGTCACGTTGCTGACCACGTACACACCCGGCGGCGGCAAGGTGTCTTCGGTGAAGCTGGTGACGACGACGGACGCGGCGGGCCAAGCGCAGACACTGACGACCATTATCGAGGTCGATCCGACGGACGTGGCCGGCAACGGCGCCGCGGAGTCTGCCAGCTCGACGCCCACCGCGACGGGACGGCCCAGCGTGCAGTCCGGCGCAGCTCGCAAGAACCACGCGGCGGTCGCCGGACTCGCGGGCCTGGGCGCGTTCGCCTTCTTCCTCTAGCAACGGCCAGATGGGACGGTTTTCGCGGAACGACTCTCCTTGCCCCGCCTGGGCTGTCACGCGCCTTTTCGCATTCGTGTACAAAGTACGGGGAACACTTGGGATGGAAGAACAAAATTGGGATTTAGCGGTGCATATGCTTTGATTTGTTTTTTTGCGTCGCATACGTATACGGAGCGTTAGAGCTCGGCACTTTCATTCGATACCCACTCTCTCTAGCATGGCTCTGGCATGGCGGATCCGGGCAGTATGTATCTGCGGACGACGATGATGAACGATTTGAAAAGCATGTGTCCTTGGATGTGCGTGCATTGACAGATGGGTGCTGTGTGTGAATGGTTGTGGATGTGCATGCATTGACAGATGGGTGCTGTGTGTGAATGGTTGTGTATGTGCATGCATTGACAGATGAGTGCTGTCTGTGAATGGTTGTGTATGTGCGTGCATTGACAGATGAGTGCTGTCTGTGAATGGTTGTGTATGTGAATGTATTGACAGATGGGTGCTGTCTGTGAATGGTTGTGTATGTGCGTGCAT